ACATGTTATGGTCAACCATTTTCTTTAATAAAATATGGTAGCTATACATAAGTTCTTTTATTCAATCTGCAACTAGCATTGAAATGGTGGGTGGGGATTGATGCTATCTTTCTAACTTATTCTTATGAAAATTTCATTGTGAATTAGTTTCTGGAGGGAAAGGAACCTGAGCTTCATGCTTCTCGCCAAGCTGGTCTGCTTGATTTTATTGCTTCGGCCCTTCCGGCTTCACATTCATCGAAACCTGAAGCTTGTCAAGTGACAATACATCTTTTAAAACTTCTGAGGGTGGTGTTATCGACTCCTGTGAACCAGAGTTATTTTCTTGCTCAGAATCTTTTGCCTCCTATGATTCCCATGCTGTCGGCGGCACTTGAGAACTATATAAAGATTGCTGCATCCTTAAATCTCCCCGGAAGCAGCAACTCTCTCTCATGCAAAACTTCTCTTGAAAATTTTGAATCAGTGTCCGAAGTACTGGATGGTTTTTTATGGGCTGTCTCCTCAATTATTGGTCATATAAGCTCTGATGAACGCCAACTCCAAATGCGGGATGGCTTGCTTGAGTTATTAGTTGCCTACCAAGTTATTCACCGGTTCAGAGATCTCTTTGCTTTATATGACAGGCCTCAGGTTGAAGGATTCCCATTCCCTTCATCTATTCTTTTGAGTATCCATCTACTGGTGGTTTTGACATCCAGTCCCGGAAAGAGTTGCATCAATTGGGAATCTTTACATATTGAAATGGAACTGGGTACTGAAAGTCAAGATACTAAGATTACAGCATCTGCGGATTCTAGATGTTCCTTTGGAAATATCAACCCTGGAGACAATACACCTCAATTATGTGCGCCAAGTGGTAGCATAATGGCACCGCTATCTGATGTACCAGAGGATAGACCATTAGATGAACCACGTAGAATAGATAACAATGATAGTTCAGTCGAGTTGATCAATCTCAGCATTTCCAAGGTAGATGTTACAGATGCATCACAGAAAATTCTAGTTGAGCAAAAGGAAGAGAAAGCCATCATAACTGCCAGGGAGGAGAAATTGAACGAAAACATATCAAGCGTGAAACAACCAGTGACATTCCTTCTTTCTGCTATATCCGAAACTGGATTAGTCACTCTTCCTTCCTTGTTGACAAGTGTGCTACTTCAAGCAAACAATAAGTTACCTTCTGAGCAGGTAACTTGACCACCTTTTGAAAAGTTCCTTTTCCTTTTCTTTTATTTTATGTCATGGAATCAAATAAGATTCTTTTATGGAAACTTTTAAACTTCCACCACTTTGGTTCAGGTTATATTCAGTATTGTCTTTTGCTCTATACTTTTCGAGCTAGAAAAAGGGAGACCAAAACAGAGCTGCTTTTTTTTTCTGAAGATTAATTTTGGTTTGAGCAGTTCTTACTATTGTCTTTTCATGGTTAGATGAGACCTCATTTTATTAATTCTAACTTGTTATACTATGAAATATTTGGTATCAGGATCGTACTAAGGGTATGCTTTTGAATAGATAATGTGGTCAATATTTGTAGAACAGAGCCACATGTTGGGAAAATGGCTAATTTGTGGTTGTTTAAGAAAAGAGTCTTCTACTAGAATATTGGAGATGCTATTTTTATAATTAATTGTCGATTCTGTTTCAGGCATCAAATGCCCTTCCATCTAATTTTGAAGATGTGGCAACAGGAGTACTGAAGGTTCTGAATAATTTGGCGCTATTGGATATTACATATATACAAGGAATGCTGGTGAGTAAATTTCATGTATTGGATATTGGTTGATGATACTTATGATAGCGGTTTTAGCTAAACAATGTGATTCTCCTCATGTTTATGCTGATTTTGATATATGCCAGAAAACAAAAAACTGATTTGATCCCTTTTTATCCCCAGGCAAGGCCGGACCTGAAAATGGAGTTCTTCCACCTGATGAGTTTCCTTCTTTCATTTTGCACGAGCAAATGGAAAGCAGCAAATGATCAGGTGATTGATTATGTGCATGTTACCGTAATGCATGCAAAACCGACAAGATTCATACACATAGCCAGTATCAATTCCAAAATTTTATACAATATCCCCATCCTGTACTTTTTCTGTAATGGCTATCTTTCAGTAAATGCATGCATGGGTTAAAACTTATACAAGGAATCGTACTATTCCAAAGAAGTCAACTTTGAGAAATTTAGTCTCAAAGATCATTTTCTTAACTTACGCTATCAATTTCATCTCAGATTGGTTTGCTTCTACTTGAATCTCTGCTGCTTCTTGGTTATTTCGCCTTGTTCCACTCCGGGAATCAAGCTGTTCTTCGATGGGGTAAAAGTCCCACAATTCTTCACAAGGTCAGTGATCTCTTCACAGTTTTCTCTCTCTTATCTTTAGTTGCTATTAGAGAAGCTAACAGTTGAGCTCGAAGGGAACAGGTGTGTGATCTGCCTTTCGTGTTCTTCAGCGACCCAGAATTGATGCCGGTCTTGGCAGGGACACTTCTTGCGGCCTGTTATGGCTGTGAACAGAATAAGGATGTAGTTCAGCAGGAACTAAGTATGGATATGCTACTGTCCTTGCTAAGATCTTGCAGAAATATCTTACCAACCGTCAGATCATCCAATTCAAACCCGGAAATTCTCTTACCAGACGATCCAAATGAGTGTAACCACCAGGGTTCTGATTTGAGAAGATCTCAGGGCGATGTTCCTCTAAGATCTGGCCGATACAACACCAGAAACACAAGGATATCGGGGGGAAAGGGACGCAGTGTAGGAAATGGCCTGAAAATCGGCAAGATGAGAAACCAAAGAGAGAGTAGATCAACAAAAATTTGTGAAGAAACTACTATTAGACATGACAATAACCTTCCGGTTTTGGGGACTTCACTGATGTTATACTCTAGATTCTCGAGCAGCTTCATCAACAGAGCTGAGCAGTTCTTTTCAGCTGGTATCTCCAATGAAGGAACTGTGAGTTAACTAACACGAAACTGAACTCATCATATTTGACATTTACAGGCCTTTGCCATCTTAAATTCACAGTGGTAAGTCATAAACCCTAAATAACTGCTACATTTTGTGGAGATTTTATTCATGATTACTGATTCACTAGGCTTTTTTCCAAGCTATTTGTTGTGAACTACCTTCTTTTTTGGGGAAAATGGTTTGATGAAGTATACGAGCTATATGCTCAAACAATCATTTTTGAACTTCTAAAATTTATAAACTATCATTAAATTTATCGAACCACCATTATAAAATGACCATTGTAATATTATAAGTTAAAAAAATTAATAGATTTAATGACTATTTTATAATACATTGATAAATTTAATAGTTATTTTACAATAATTTAATGAATTTAATTATTTGAAAATTCAATGATGAAAATATTTATCTGAGTATAATTCAACAACTCGACCTCTGAACTCGTTCACATCAAACTTCTGTACGTTTTCATGCTTTTGCGTTCTATGAGTTTGAAATCCGTTTGTCAAATATGCTTTTGTCCAATGTTAAGGGTGTAAATGAACATAATTTTTGACGAATTGTTTGTTTATATTTTTTATTAAGTTAAAATAAAAGAATATGAACAAAAATTTATGTTTATTTAATAAACGAAATAACACTAACATAGGTGTTTTTGATTCGTTTATGTTCACTAACAAGTTCATTTATCGGTTCATTTATGAGTTTGTTTATTCGGTTTTTATTTTCATTTTATCTTTTTACATAATATATTAGTGAAGATAGGGACTAAATTGAATATAATGTGAATTTTGGAGTTTAAATTATGAAATTTAAGAAATTTAAGGACTGTAATTTCACCAATTTTCTTTTGTTTGCCAATAAAAGAGTAGAAATAGAGGGTTGGTTGTTGAACATTAAACTAACATTAGTGGATATAATCACAACCGTTAAATGAATATGTTTGCAAGTGTTAAATGAACATTTTCACAAATGAATGCAAATACTTTCAAAATCAATTAAACGAATATGGACACGATACTAAAAATTTAAATGAATGTGAATATAGCTTAATTCGTTCTAATTTAATTCATTTACACCCATTGTCCAAATACATTTTCAAACCGAAGTTACATATTGTTGCACCATAAATTAAATTAATATTTTTTATTTTGATATTACAATATATTGATATTTATATGATTCTGTATAGTTTGATATAATAATAGATTGAATTGGGTCTGGGTTTTAGTATATTTGAATTTGATTGAAATATTATATTTTTTTTATCGTTTATTTGATTCGATCTAAATTAAAGAAGATTCAATTTGACATAAAAACTGATTTGAATTTTGGAGTTAAAATTCACATAAATCTATTTAAGCCGATACAATTTAAAACTTTGTAGTTTTACATAAAAGTAGGAACATTGGATGAGTAAAAATAGATGGTTGAGATTAACTCCTTGTTTTTTTTCCTAGTGATTATATTCTCATTTCCTACTTTTAATCTTATACATCTATTTTCATTCATCCAATATTCCTAAATTTATGTAAAACTAAAAAGTTTTACATTGTGTAAATGAATCTTAACCTTATATATATATAATAAAGAATAATTAAAAAATATAAAAAACGATATCATATCAACTGCTTTAAAATATATATAATATTATATTATTATCTCAAATCATATTAAAAAATTAACATAAACTGAATTAGATCTAAGTTTAATTTTTCTAAAAAAATTATTTTATAAAATAGGGTCATATCAAAATTCATCCTATAATAAAATTATCATCACTATATAGTTGACATTTACCATTAATTTTAAATATTAATTTCCCCTATAATGTCTAGAGTCAGATCTCATTCTTCAAGTCTTTTATTAGTTTTTTTTTTAATTATCAGTTTAGTATTGTGAGGTGCGAGTCTATGTAAAAATATTTATTTTGTTTTAAATTAAATCAATAAAATTTTCAATTCTAACAAATCGGAAACCCTACTTCCACAGTATTTAAGAATTCATTAACTTCATAAAATCCCGCACATCTGCTTAGCCCCCACTCTGCTTTTTGCTACACACTCGAACAAGGAAAAAAAAAAGAGTTTTTTGAAACACGATAATGTCTGACGAAGAGCATCATTTCGAGTCCAAAGCCGACGCCGGTGCCTCCAAGACATACCCTCAACAGGCCGGAACCATTCGCAAGAACGGCTATATCGTCATCAAAGGCCGACCCTGCAAGGTTCTCTCTTTTTAAAGGATCCCTGATTTTGATCCTCTGAATTACCTTTTTGGTTTAGGATTTTTGAGATTTGTTTATAATTTCTAGATGAGATTTTGGTGGTTGAGATCTATTTGTTTTTTTGGATAATCGGTATTTTTGTACTTTGTTTGGTTCTTCATTTTGGCTTGAAAATTTTTTAAAAATCGAATATGATAATATATTTTAGTATTTTCTTTGAATTTATAATAACTTGTGTTAAATCAAACGCAAATTAGAAAAACAGGAATACAACCAAACTAATCTAGAACTTCAGTTTTAAGAAATTAGGATTTTTTGACGAATCTTCTTATTATGAGCAATCCGATGGTGTTTGTTGGAATGTGATGAATTATTTGTTGTTTGGTTTATTTTTTATTTGCACCGTATGGTTATTTAGAATTATTTGCATTTTTAGCTGAACTCAATTGTTGTTGACTTGTATGGCGTTGGCCAGGTTGTCGAAGTTTCAACCTCCAAGACCGGGAAGCACGGCCACGCGAAGTGTCATTTTGTTGCAATTGACATCTTCACTGCTAAGAAGCTTGAAGATATTGTTCCGTCTTCTCATAACTGTGATGTATGAAATTATAAACTTACTCCACTGATTGCTATTGTTTTTGTCATTCACTATTTAAATTTCTAATCTGTTATGTAATTGCATTGAATTGATTTTTTTTGTCTTTTGGTTGTAACAGGTCCCACATGTTAATCGCACTGATTATCAATTGATCGATATTTCTGAGGATGGATTTGTAAGTTTGTTTTGGTTCCGTTTTTGCTTTCATGTTTGTGTGCAGTCGTCTGTTTTTTTCTTCCCAACTTGTTAAATATTTCAGGTGAGTTTGCTGACTGACAGTGGAGACACAAAGGATGATCTGAGACTCCCAACAGATGAGAACTTGTTGAAACAGGTAAGTTAACTATTTTTCATTTTTTTGACAAATCAGTCTTTTGATACCGAGTAGATGTCGTTATTCAATTTAGTGATTTGAATGAACAACAAAGCCTTTTGCCTGTATCTAAGGTTGGCTACTTGTTTTCTATTCGCCTGTAGTCATCATCGTATATAGGACCCATGAACCTCGTATCATTTGAGTGTTTGTGTTCACTGTTCAACATTGGATACAAAGTATTGGCAGAATCTTTGAGCATCTTTTGTGGACAAAATTGTGAGGCCCAATGGGCTTATGTTGTGCTATTTGCTCCTTCAGCTGGGGCTACATTGGCAGCACTGTTTGCAGTCTCCTGCACAAAGAAGAGCGAGTTTAAACTTGTGCACAAGAACGTTCCTGGCCTCTTGATTTTAGGACTTAGGAACCTGATTGAACACCATATTCTGATTGGGTGATATGACCCTTTTTTCACATGTTTAAACTAGCCAAAACTGTTTATTCTTCTGTCTTTGTTTTACCTGGTGCTTATATGTTTATATATCTCCATGACTAGTAGCTGATCTGACATTTGTGCATACGACTAATACCCTTCCAAACATGGAAATGTCAATTGCTTTTCAGTATCATGAAGGTGGCAGTTTAATCATTTACATTCATGATTGTTTTGGTGAGTGCAGATCAAGGATGGTTTTGCTGATGGGAAAGATCTGGTTGTGTCTGTTATGTCTGCAATGGGGGAAGAGCAGATCTGTGCTCTCAAGGACATTGGTCCTAAGTAAATTTCAGATTCATTTATTGCGAAAACTTAAATGGAGCCAAAAATTAAGACTTTGGTAGTAGTAAATGCTGTTTTCATGTTTTTATTTTTGGGTCTTGGTAGAAAAAAAGAAGGAAAAACAATATTACTAGTTCCTTTTTGTGCTATGGATACTTATTTTCTTGCAAGATTTTTTCTTACCACGTTTTGTTTTGTGGGGTATTTTTTGAAGTTATAAGGTATAATTATGATTATAAGTTATTCATGTTCGTATAGATTATAATCAGAATTAATCATTATAAATTTCAGTTCGACTACTATCTGGAATATATTCGGAGCTAGATCACGAAACTATGGGCTAAGTCGACTTTTAATCATTAAACTTCACAATTTTTTCAATTTAGTCTTTAAACTTTATTTTGGACAACATTAGTCTTTGAACTGGAATTTGTCTTTTTAGTTCTTTTGATAGTGTTCCATGTCAAAAGGACTAAAATGGAAGAAGTTGTTAAGTATATGTATCAGAATAAAGTTTAGGGATTGATTGAAAAATTATCAAGGTTAGAGATTGAAAGTTGAATTATCTCTAAATACATATATTTGAGGTCTGACTATATTACGAGTACAAGTATATCATATTCCATTGTTACACGAATTATATAATTATTGGTTTGAATTTAATGGAGATCATAATTACAAATTAGTCTTTAATGTTTATATTTTTTGTTAATTTAATTTTTATTTTAAGTAAAATTGCTTTTTATTTTTCAGCGAGGACAATGACTATAACATTATGTTGTGTAATATTATTACTTTTAATAAAGTTAATTAATAATTTTAAAATTATAAAAAAATAATATAAAGTATACGTGAAATGATATACGAATCGACATACAAGAAGAACTGTTGGAATCTTATTATTTTTAAAGTTCAATTACAATTAAAAATAATAATGGTAAAAAAATAGTAAATGATTTTGGTTGGTGGCGTGTGAATGATACGATGGCAACTAAACATTAATAAAATAATAAAATACTTTCGAAAGGTTTTAAGTTCGAACAGATGTTTATAAAGATGTATGAACGTTTATCATCAAATTGTTAAAAGTTTTTCGAACAGTTACTATCTTGTAATTCCATCATATTAATAAAAAATTTATATGTTTAAATAGAATTAGTTGCATAAGATGTCCTTAAATTATGATCTTCATTATAAATTAGTCCTTAAACTTTGAAACATTCTATATTAATTCTTAAACTATGATCTCATTCTAATTTATTCTCTAAACTTTAAAGTATTTTTTATGGTATAATGATAAAATTACCCCCTCATCGTTTGCATAAATGATCATTTTCCCCTATTTTTTTGAAGCATTTTATATAAATCCTCAAACTATTCTTGTCATTTCATTTTGATCTTCCATTAATGTACTATATTACCTCTACTAACTTTTCAAGGTCACAAATTGAACTCATAACTTTCTAAAATATTTAATTTTATTTTAAAAGTTATGAGAATTGAACCTACAACCTTCTAAAAAATTAATCTATTTTTGAAGGTCTTGTAATTTTTTTTAAGTTACACCAGATCATTTGATCTTTAAAAAAAAGTTAATCAATAAAGTTATGGCACATTAATAAAAGGATAAAAAAATAGAATGATACTGTTAGTTTGAAGACTGATATATAATATTTTAAAGTTTAAGGATCAATTTAAAATATAGATCATAATTTGAGGATTGATATAAAATATGTTAAAGTTTAAGAATCAAATTAAAATAGAGGTCATGGTTTAAGATATCTTGCGTGATTATTTATTTATTTTTGTAAAAAAATATCACAACTACATTAAGAATTAAAATTTAAGAAAATAAAAAATAATATTATTCCATAAAGTCTAAAATTTTAATAATAGCAATATAGAATTTAAAAAAGCCGGTTCAACTTTCCAAGTATTTTCTTTCTCATTTTCAATACTTCTCTTTTTCCTTTCAATTTTTTTCCTCTTAGAACAAACAAAACTCAAATAACATATCACCAGAATTTGTTTTCAACTCCAAATTGTTTAATCTGTTTTCTCTTTAAAAAAAATCTTCATTATAATCCTCATTTTCATTACATACTGTCACTTCTTTCTTACTTCTTTCTTAAATTTGTTTATGAATTTTCTATGCGCCAAACTTTCCCTCCGCATTTCATTTTCTGTCTTTCTCTGCCTCTCTATCTCATTCTAGTTTGCTGTTTCATTTATGTATTGGAAAAGGAATTGAAATTGTTAATAATTCTACGGCAAGAAATCCTCATTTATTTTAATATTTTGGTCTGTTCTGGTGATGACATTGACGGGAAAATTGTGTTGTTTTTTAATTCGGTGGTAAGAAATCTTCATGCATTTGGACAATTTGGCGTGTTTTGAAGAAGGGCATTGACGGGGAAAAAATTCGTGTTGAATTTACATCGGAGTTGGGTCACTTATAATTGAATTTGAGAACCTGAATCCGTGGCGGGTTTGTTTAAAGAGAAATGTGATCCTATTCGTGGTGATAGGAAGAAAGGGTTTTGAATCCTATAACGGTAGTAACAGCGCCATCTGATGGCGCTGTTCAGACGATTGTTTTACCGGAAGCCACCTGATCGGCTTCTCGAGATATCCGAACGTGTCTACGGTAACTCTTTTTTTTGTTGTTCTTATTTGTTGTTCATTTCAGCTTTAAAATGTGGAAACCGTATTCATTCTATCACAGAAAGAGGAATGCCGATGGATACAGTTTTTGAATTTCCTGGGAATCAAATTTCTTATCCATATTTTCTTATTTATATTCATTTATTTGGACAATGCACTGCTTATTTACATGTTTTTTTGGGTTCTGTTGATTAACTTTGGGGTATTTATTACAATAAAGAAACTCTTTGAGGGGTTTTTAGCTTGTTTCTTTTCCTGGTTTTTTTTTATTATTAAGTTTCTTTTCATGGTTGCTGGGGAGAATTGGGGGGATTTATCACCTTAAAGCAGAACTATTGAATTAATTTGCTATTGAACTTTGTAACAAATCACTTGGAGCTTAGAAGCTGATGTGCTATCTCTGTTTTATTAATGCATACAAGTTTCGGATACAATTTTTGATGTAAATATTTCTGTTTCGAACTGTAGTTTGCTTTTCTCCATGTTAGGAAAATTATTGAACTCCCTTTGGTGAGCATTTGTAATGAACCTTACAGTTAAAACTTACAAGTTACAATATTATACTTACACATACAGAGACATGTATATATGGAGGCATATGGTTAATAATCATTGCTGATTTGATTCAATTCTTGTGCTGGTTGTTTTGCAGTATTTGATTGTTGCTTCACTGCGAATGTTATGGAAGAAGACAACTTCAAAGCGTATATGGATAGCATTGTGGCACAGCTACAGGACTACTTTCCAGAAGCTTCATTCGTGGTGTTTAATTTCAGAGAGGGGGATGGGCAGAGCCGAATTTCAGACATTTTAAACAAGTACAACATGACTATTATGGACTATCCGCGGCGATATGAGGGGTGCCCGCTGCTGCCACTTGAAATGATTCATAACTTCCTTCAATCTTGTGAAAGCTGGTTATCATCGGGAGGGCAGCAGAATGTGCTTTTGATGAACTGTGAAAGAGGAGGATGGCCGGTACTTGCTTTCATGCTTTCCAGTCTTCTGTTATATCGAAAACAATATAGTGGTGAGCAGAAGACTCTTGAAATGGTCTACAAGCAAGCTTCTAGGGACCTTCTCAAGCTTCTGTGCCCTTTGAACCCCCAGCCTTCTCATTTGAGATATCTGCATTATATTTCTAGAAGAAATTCAAGTATTGATTGGCCTCCCGCATATACACCTATATTTTTGGATTGCATAATTCTTAGAGCTCTTCCCCGTTTTGAAGGGGGAGATGGGTGCAGGCCGGTTATACATGTCTATGGATCGGACCCCAAAACACCAGCCAGTACAAGTTCTAAGCTTCTGTTTTCAACTTCCAAGTCAAAAAAACAAGTTCGCTACTTCCAAAAGGTGATGCGCAAGTTACAAAATTGAAATTGAAAGATAATAGACCAAAATTTGGGATGTTCTAATAAGGCTTATCTGCAGGAAGAGTGTGCATTGGTGAAAATCGATGCTCATTGTCATATTCAGGGAGATGTTGTGCTTGAGTGCGTCCATTTAAATGAAGATTTGGTACTTGAAGAGATAATATTCAGAATTATGTTTCACACGGCGTTTGTTCGAGGAAATATTTTAAAATTCAACCATGATGAAGTTGATGTGTTGTGGGATGCCAGGGATCAATTTCCAGAGGAATTTTCAGCAGAGGTAGGTTAATTTATTATTCTGTGATGACTTTGTTTAAAATTAATTTTTAAGCCTGTAGGAGTTGAATACATACTCATGTCTGTATCAGGTAAAGTTTATGGACCCTGATTCAGTTGTCCCACATCTCACCAGAGTCACAACAAGGGAAAATGGGAATGAGATTGAAAGTGGCTCACCAGAGGAATTTTTTGAGGTGGAAGAGATCTTCAGCAATGCAGTTGATGCACTGGACGGAAAGGTGGATGATGACAGTTTGAAAGTTCATTACAACAAGTTAGAGCAGAAAGATGTCCGGAGGGAGGGTGTAGATCCTCATAGATTTCAAGAATGTGCCATAAATGATGGGATCAAAAAACAGGATGTCAAGGTTGATTCTAGTATAGATGCAGTGAAGGACATAGCTGTGGATGATGTGAATTACAAATTACATAAGAAGATGAATTCTGACACTAATGTTGTGAAGGACATAGCAGTTGATGAAGGAGACTTTAAGGTTGGTTCAGTGGATTTTACTACCGGCCTGTTGAGGGATAGAGAAACCAATAAGGTGACAGAAGATGTGCTTGGAAAGTTGGAATACGTGGAAGATATAGTCAATAGAGAAGACATTGTTCCACTGAAGAAGCAAAGGTTGGAAACTGATATTTCCAAACCTAAACCTGAGAAGTTTTTGCCTGCTTCAAAGAAATGGGGTGGGCTGTTCCCAAAACCAGCTTCAGATTCTGCTCTGGTGAAACCAAAGAGCAAACAACTAGAACTTCAGGGCCATCCTGCAAGACAAGCAAAGCCAAATGCCATATCTCGATGGATCCCTCCTAACAAAGGCTCTTATGCAAATTCGATGCATGTATCATATCCACCATCAAGACATAGTAGTGCACCACCTGCACTTTCCGGTACTACTGCTTTGAGGAAATCGAAGTCTGGTTCCAATCTAAAGGTTTCTACGGGAGCTATGATTTCAAAGGATGTTTTATTCAGGCAAAAAAGTCAGAAGGTTGACCGTGTAAAGGCTTCAGACTCTTCGAAAGAAATATCTACCACTCCAATAATTCCAACATCGTTGCCTGGTCTACAACAATCGGTGTATATTCCACCTAGCAATCCACAACCATCACCACCACCTGCTCCTCCTCTTCCTCCTCCTTCCCCATCTCCACCAAGACCTTCTCTCTTGGTTTCACAATCTTTGCAGGAAACTACATCTATACTACCTTCCCTACCTCCTGGAGATGTTTCTAGAATGCCTTTCGCAGCATCACCTCCTTGCCTTCCACCTTGCACAACAACAAATGTAAATACTATTGGGATGGTTGCACAATCTCCAGTGTCAGGTCCTCTGCTGCTTCCCTCTCCTCCATTATCTGTTTCTCAGACTACCACACTGCTTTTGCTTCCTCCACAACCTTCATCATCCCGGAAGTCTAGGTATTCTTTAGCCTGTACTGCACTACATTCTCCACCTCCAACCCCTCCTCATCCATCTTTTGTCAGATCATTGGGTACATCACAGCCTAGTAATGAACCTTCTTTTCATCCACAACCCCCTCCCACCGCACCAATTAAATGTGCTATATCTCCATCCACCATGCATGAAGTGCTATCAGCACCTTCTCTACCCCTAGCCCCTCCATTGTGTGATTCTCCATCTCCACTACCACCCTCCCTCCCACCACCAGTGCCCACTGGACATGGACCTTTGCCACCCCCATCCCTACCACCATTGCCACCTTTTCAATATCATTCTTTGGCTCCTATACCTCTACCACCGCCAATGCCTCTTCTTCAAGTAGCTTCTTCACCACCACCATTGCCACCACCTTTTTTACAAGGAATTGCGTATGGACATTCTCAACTACCCTTACCAATGCCTAGTTGTCTATCCCCTCTACTTGCACCACTCTCATCGATGTATAGTCCCCTCCCTTCTTCACCTTTATCACCCCTATTAGTGTCTACCACTTCATCTCTATCATCCCTATCAATTTCTACTTGCCCACTTCCTTTTGCATCTCCACCACCTCCATTGATGTCTAGCGCCCATTCTCTAACTCCCCCCTCAATATCTAGAGCTTCATCTCTTCCTCCCCTACCACCCACATCAATGTCTAGCTCCCCACTTCCTCCTTCACCTCCATCATCCCCATCAATGTCTAGTGCCCCACCTCTTCCACAACCCTCATCAATATATAGCGCCCCATTTCCTTCATTTTCACCACCCTTTTCGACGATTAGTGTCCCACCTTCATCTCCACCACCCCCATCAATATGTAGTGCCCCACTTCCTCCCCTACCTTCACCACTCTCTTCGACGACTAATGCCTCACCTTCACCTCCACCACCCCCATTAATGTCTAATACTACACCTCCTCCCATTCCTCCACATACATCTCCATCACCCCAATTGGTGCCTAGTTCCCCACCTATGTCCGGTGCCTCCCTTTCTCTTCCACCTTTACCCCCCTCTTCAACGATTAGTGCCTCACCTCCTCCTCCTTCATCTCCCATACCCCCATCGGTGTCTAGTGCCCCCTTTCCTCCTCCACCACCACCCTCTCCGACGACTACTGCCCCACCTCCAACTCCACCTCCATCTGCACCACCCCCATTGGTGTCTAGTGTCCCATCCCCATTACCCCCGTTAGTTTCTAGTGCTCTACCTCTTCCTTCATTGATGTCTAGTACCCCATTTCCGCATCCACCTTCACCACTCTCTTTAACGACTGGTGTCGTACCTCCTCAACCTTCTTCTCCACCTCCTCAATCAGTTTCTAGTGCCCCACCTCCTCCACCTCCACCGTCCCCCTTGATGTCTAATACCCCACCTTCTCCACCCCCGTCAATGTCTAGTGTCACACCCCCAACATTTGAAACCCCTCCACCCCCTCACCAATTGTCTGGAATGCCATCTCTGCCTGCTCATGAAATTGTAGCACCAACGTCGTCTCTTATGCATGGAACTCCTCCACCACCACCTCCACCGCCACCTCTTGGAAGTGGAGAGCTACCTCCCGGAAGCAGAGCAACATCTCCACCGCCACCTCCTCCGCCACCTCCTGGGAGCGGAGCGCCACCTCCTCCGCCACCTCCTGGAAGCACAGCGCCACCTCCACCGCCACCTCCTGGAAGCAGAGCGCCACCTCCACCGCCACCTCCTGGAGGTGGAGCTCCTGGCCCTCCAGCACCACCTGGAGCTCCTGGCGGCGGACCGCCACCTCCTCCTCCTAGCGCTAGAGGAAGAGGGCGTGGGCTATCTCGTTCAGGAGCTATGACAACTAGGAAATCTTCCTTAAAGCCTTTACACTGGAGCAAAGTCTCAAGGGCAATAAAAGGAAGCTTATGGGAGGAATTGCAAAGACATGGAGAGCCTCAAATGTAATATATCTTCTGATATTGATGTAGCTTTTCTGTAGTGTACTTCTATAGAGAAATTCCTGACCCAATATTTATCCTAATGCTCCATGATTTTATGTTTGCATTAGACTTTTACATTTATTAATTTCCCTTTTGTATTCACTTACCTTTTCCTTATTTCTCCTAGTGCTCCAGAATTTGATGTATCAGAACTTGAGAGACTTTTCACTGCTGTTGTTCCTAAACGTTCTCGTGGGGGTAAAGGGAAAGGCAACTCAGGTGGATCAAAAACTGACAAAGTCCACTTGGTAATCTGTAATTTCATTTTTTCTGAAAAAACTATTCATCTAAGTTTCTTTATAGGTGGTCGTGGTACTATTACTTGAATCACCTTATAACTTGAGTGGCTACAAAGTCTGCAGTTTTGGAAATTGAGAATTTTTAATTTTTTAGTGTAGGTTACTACTTATCTGTGGGAGAAAGGCGTTCTAATCATTGTTTTGTGGTTCATATTAATTATAATGCCCATCTTTCAATTGCTTTAACATTATAAGACCATCATAATAATAATTATCTCCCCCTTCTCTAATATCACAGCTAACAGATTTTGTTATCACATCATAGATTGACTTGAGGAGGGCCAACAACACTGAAATTATGCTCACAAAAGTTAAAATCCCACTTCCTGAAATGATGGTAAGCTGGATATGGTCATTTTCTTGCATTTATTAGTATTTTCTCTTAGATAACTAGGGAACGTGTACCTATGGTGTTCCACTTACATGGAACATGGAAGTTTACCCTGGAATATATGTGAACAAAACAAGAGGGTTTTTTGGTTCTTGTTGTTTTGCTAGTGGTTGCACAATTGCACTTAAGTTTCATAGGTGTGGTCTCCTTAGAGTCGTTAGCTTCTTCTGCAGTAACAATTTTGGTGTAAATGCAAATTATTAGGATTGTCATTTGTCATGCTATACCTGAATTAATGGAGGCATGGAGGAAAATAGGATTTTCCTTTTCGATCTCCTCTCTCTTCTTCTCTCCTCCTTTCTTGCCTTAGTTTTAACCAAAGATTTTCGGTTTTTATTTCATAACTTACTATATGCAGCTTCATGTATTTATCAGGCTGCAGTGCTAGCAATGGATGATACAGTATTAGATGTTGATCAAGTGGAAAATCTCATAAAATTTTGTCCAACTAAAGAGGAAATGGAACTTCTCAAGGTGAATCTTTAGTGCATGAGTATATCTAGATTCAGTATTGTAAATAAGTTGTTTAAAATTTATTTTTACATTGTATAAGAATCCCTTTACCACTAGAAGTTTGTCTTCTTTGATTATGATTTACCCTCTTTTCACTTTGATTATGATTTACCCTCTTTTCATTTTTTTAGAACTACACTGGTGACAAGGAGACTCTAGGGAAGTGTGAACAGGTCTGTTTTTTTCTATCTAACCATATCATCTTTTACACTTGAGTTCCTTAGTGGGTGGGCTCGTAGATGGTTCATTACCATTGACATGTTAAATATTCTCTTTGTGAAAAGAAGTCTTTGTCTTCATGTTCTTGTGAATTGTGACCTGCTAATATCTTTTCCCCAGAGCATTTGGTTCACTGCTTGGTGCATGCTTCCTTTTTGAATGATTGATTGAATTACTGCATTATGCCCATTCAGTTGAAGAATCTTCTTTTAAACTGAGATTCTTTGGTATGATAACGAAATACATATTCCTGGGTTATTCTCTTTGAATGATTGAATTACTGCTTTCTTTTGAGTCAGCTTTTAAGGGAGTGAGGGGAACACTGCAAAACTCATATACCAACACCCCCCCCCCCCCAAAAAAAAATAATAAAATAAAATAGAGTTCCTTCTATTTTCCTCTCTTCCCTAATTTAATGTAGAGAGACTATATATGTATGAATTTATACCACTTGTTTAACTGTGTCCTCTTCTGTTTCTTGATATATTAAGTGTATATTTTCAATATTTAAGAAATATTTTCTCAATTTGGAGAATTTTTACTTTCTAAGACCCTTTGGTATTATACTTAAAGAGGCATTTTAGCCATGAAAATTTCTTTTCAAGTTATGGTTTAAAGATAGTAATTGATATCGAAGGAATTATTTGTTTTTATCTTCTTGCCTTTTTTACGAGGACATGTAATCCAAATTGAAGATGGTATTTCTGATAGTTACTACTTTATTTCCCTACTATATTTTTGAAACAATTGATGCCTGATAATTCCTCAATGAAGATGGTAACATTAGCGAAATTTTTTCAGTGATGTTAATTGTTCATGAACATCAATACAGTTAAGATTTAACTCAAGGTTCAGTGATGTGGTTCAAACAGAGGGATCATTACTTATGTATTTGATTGTAGATCACATTTCTCTGTTAAACTTTCATTTTGTTTACTTATCGGTTTATTCTTATTCTGAGAGATATAAACTAGTTCTCTACCTATTTGCATATGGGAAGAACTGTGGTCTAGCAAGAGTGTATATAGTTGTACATTTAGTAGAGTGAGCTGTTTGCGTTCTTTCGACTTAGTGGCTTTTGTGAGGAAGAGAGATAGAAAGATGTTTCAGGGAAGAAGTACCTTTAAAATTCTCCTGTGCTGTGCTCCTACTTTTTTATTAAAATGACATCACTGACTGGAACTGCAAGAGGCTATTGATTTTTATTTCTCTGTTCTGTTAGAGTTAGCTTTTCAAAATGGGTATAAAGGAAAGAAAGGACAGATGATGTTCTATAGTACTAGATTTTAGTATCCAACTGTAAGAAGATAGTTAAAGCTCTGGAGAACAATGATTTACCATATTGCATTGTAGCAAATACAAGATAACAATTTTCTTCTTTCCCCTTTTATGAAGAAACTCTATCTAAAACAACTGGCTCCTGGATGCTTCTCCAATGGCATCTTTCATTTGATCCATCTTTATAACAACTTCTAAACCTGAAGCGGGTTTTGATCTTTCATGTTCAGTACTTTTTGGAGCTGATGAAAGTGCCACGAGTAGAGTCAAAAATGAGAGTGTTTTCTTTCAAGATACAGTTCCGAACTCAGGTTTGGCGGTATCTCCATAGTTCTGATTGATAAACTTACAGTTGTTTAATAATTAATCTCTTTATTGTTTCTCCTTTTTATTTTATTGAATCACCTGTTTGACCTCTGTTCTTACATGTTTTACCTCCTTCAGATATCTGAATTTAGAAGGAGCTTAGAAGCTGTAAACTCTGCATGCGATGAGGTATATAGCTAACATTGCTGATGACTATAGTGTTTATTTGTTCTTATCTGACTACTTTTGTATTGGTTATTTAGGTACGCAATTCGGATAAATTGAAGGAAATCATGAAGAAAATTCTCTATCTAGGAAACATATTGAACCAAGGAACTGCACGGGGTAAGTGACATTCAATTTTCCTTTTGGCTTCAGTCTTTGATGCTAGAACTGCAGCTTATAAACTATTATTCAGGGAAGAGATTTAGTAGCTAAACCACATATAATGTATTACTGCGATGTTTGTCTGGACCCATACATTTTAATGGTACTTGCTTTGGTGTTTACCTGCAGAGTCGCATGTGAGATTATGTTACAACATTTTGAGCAGCATTCTTGTTCCTTAAATTCAAAATCCTTGGTGTTTACCTAAGGCACAGATATGGTGTTGAAACTATGCTTTTCATATCTTATTGAAGATATCTTTACTGTTTCTTATTCCAAATGGTAGCTATGTGCCTCGATTTATACAAGATAAAATACAAATCAGGATCCAATCCCATAAATTAGCTTATCTCACAAATCAGTTTGTGTCTACAAATATGTTTATCCTTACTAATCTGGAACAGTTATAACTAAATAATAGGAGATTTACGGCTAAAGAACCCTTCTCCAGCACTCCCCATCAAGCTGGTGTCTCCATTCCTAGCTTGCTGGTTATCTCTTGAAATGAAGCATTGGCTAACCCCTTAGTATGTCTTCCATCTGCCCGTGCGTAGGAATATAGGGTATGCGAATTAATTCGCTTTCTAAGTTCTTTATAACATGTTGGGTCTTTTTCAATATGTTTGGTTCTATCATGCTGAATTGGAATGTGGGTGATATTAATAGTCAACTTGTTGTCACAATACAACTTCATTGGCCCAATCCATTTAACCTTAAGATCATCCAAGATAATCTTTAACCGCAAGAGTTCATAAATGCCTTGGGTCATCGCTTTAAACTTGGGTGATATTAATAGTCAACTTGTTGTCACAATACAACTTCATTGGCCCAATCCATTTAACCTTAAGATCATCCAAGATAATCTTTAACCGCAAGAGTTCATAAATGCCTTGGGTCATAGCGCTAAACTTTGCCTCTTCACTTGATTCTGCCACCACTTTCTGTTTCTTACTCTCCCATGCCACTAAGTTCCCAAAAAAGAATACAATACTTGGTAGTTAATCTCTTATTAGTGTTAGAACTTTCCCAATCCGCATATATATAGGCTTCAACAATTTGATTTATATTCTTCCTAAACATAATACCATCTCTAGGTGTAGATTTGAGATACTGAATGCATGAACTAGCTTATCACACTTGCAACATATTCTATATCTGGTTAAGCATGTGACAAGTAAATCTTCCCTACTAGCTTTTGGTATCTTTCCTTATCAACAACTTCATCGTCTTTGCTTCACTTCCTGTCTACTTTTGGCTTGAATTTTCAAAATTGGTGAAAAGAACCTGTTGTTTTCTCTGCCCTCCCTTGTCTACTGCATCTGGAGGCTACCCATGGAGACGATAAGTGCAATTCAAATTCTGTGATTCCCCATTTGATTGACTGTTTCCGAGAGGGTTTGAGGAATTATTTTGGATTTCATCCATTTTTCAGGTGATATTCTACAATGAAGGCAAAGAGTTTTTCTGGATTAACGTTTAGCAATGAAGGCTGATAAGTTTTCATAGGCTAAGGTTTCAGCAATGAAGGTTGTAAATGAATGGAGAAAAGTTTTCTAGAATACCTGGCTTGGATACCATGTAGAAATCTTTACTGTTTCTTATTCCAAGTGATAACTATGTTCCTCTATTTATACATGGTGCAATAGCTATTCTAGGAAAGAAATCAGGATTCTTTTCCAAAAAATCAGTCTATGCCTACAAAAGAGGAACAATTATAGGTAAATAATAGGAGATTTAGAGTACTACCATGTTTCCAACTAAAAATTCCATGAGATTCTCCAACACTGGTAGTGCCATCAAAAATCGGTTCAACTGGTAAAAACCACCTTTTTCTTCTCAGAATACTATTTATAATTTAATTTCCAACTTATTTCTAGTTTCTTTAACATGCTGTTCTGTTTCTGTAACGTTGGCAGTTATAACCTTTAATGCCCAATGTCCACATTTATGTCTTTCATTTTGGATTTTTAGACGAAGCTAGCTAGCGTCAATCAATTCTTCATTCATTGTTATGCTGCTAGTTCCTTTTCTTTTTGCCAAAGCTACAACTACTAGTTCCAGATGTCGGTTTTTGTATGCATTTAACGCTGATCAACAATTCAGTTTTGAGGAAGAGAATACTCTTTAACTGCTGCCTGTTCCTTAATATGAGGTTTCAAATAATTTCTTATATACAGGTTCTGCTGTGGGGTTTAAGTTGGACAGTCTTCTAAAGCTCACAGATACACGTGCTGCTTCCAGCAAGATGACGCTAATGCATTATCTTTGCAAGGTTTGGTTACTATTTTTTCTCTTTGGTTTAAGTAAGATCATTCTGTTTCTTTAAGAATTTTCTGGATTATGTTCTACACCCCGTTCATATGTTACTTTACTACTGGAGGCTTGTTTCTAATGCAAACAGAAATGGTTGATTTGAATCAAGTCTCAACTATGTTCATTGTGGCTTAGGTCCTAGCTGAAAAGAATCCAACACTATTAGATGTTCACCTTGATTTTGTTAGCCTTGAAGCTGCAGCTAAGGTTTACATCAGTCTTTTTAGCATTTGAGTTCGTAGTTGGGTAATACTATGTTTAGTTTGAAGGCTTGCGTCCTTGCAGATACACTTAAAAGTTTTAGCAGAAGAAATGCAAGCTATAGTTAAGGGATTAGAAAAGGTTAAGCAGGAGTTGGCTGCCTCAGAAAATGAAGGTCCTGTTTCTGATGTTTTTCGTAAGGTACATGGTTGTTTCATTGCTTTTATTTTTTAACATACATAGATGGTAGTATCTGGATAATGAATACTTGATAAATAATAAACTTGGTTAACTAATAAAATCTTACGGTCTAAATCATGTTTATTAATTGAAATGATAGCCTCGCTAAATTCCTAAGATTACGTTGCTCGAACTCTTCAATATTTTGAATTACCCATGTTAGACACTTGAATATGAGCTCCAAGGATCCTCCAAATATATGGGGGAAAAATTAGAAAAATCTAACCATACACGTGCCTTGTACATACTTGTATCTGACACATACCTGGGTCCGAGTAACATAGGCCTAAGATAATATTTTAAGATAATATTTAAAAAAAATTATTTTATAATTCTTTAGGCCCAACAAACAAATGTCATATGTAAGGAAAAAGTTCACTAAACAACTTTTACCTTGTTGTTTAAGCTCTTTTAAGAATATGCATTCAAAGTTGTTTTTCGTTATGCCTAACCCAAACTAAGCCTTATTCTTTTCTCTCTTTTTTTCCGTACACATACCACATTCGGTGCATTCTTTTCATGTTGCAGCTAGTAGTTATTTCAGCTGACTATTGCTTGAAACGTATATATATATATTAATATATGAGCTAGGATCCAATTACATTGTGTAAAACTTTCTAGTTTTACACCTTTTTAGGATCGTTGGATGAGGGTATATCAAAGGCTGAGATTAACAGTAGGAACTAGGAAATCAGAAGATATTCATTGGGGGAAAAACAATGAGTTAATCTCAGCCTTTGATTTCCCCTCGTCCAATGATCCTTAAAAGGTATAAAACTAAAAGTTTTACACTAGGTTTAAGCGGATCTTAACCCTATATATATAAGAAACAGTTAGTAGAATATAACTTTCGTATGGATCTTGATCACCATCAGTTGGCATATTTATGATCCCTTGAATAAATTCTCTATCCTTAGTTTATTCTTATCAGTAGATGTAGTGTTTTTCCTTTATACGTCATTCGTATATCTTAGCAAAATAAAATAGTAATATACATGTATAAGTACTGAAAACATAAAACTCGATACTAATAAATATTAACCACCAACTGAATTCTGAATTGGCTACAAGCTTCATTTTTTTTTCTTTTATCACTCTTTGCCCGTGTAGTTATTTTATAAAATTGAACAAGATAAATGTTATGCAAACATGCCATACCTCAAAAACATGGGTTTAGTAAATAAAGAATCATACTACGTGTTTATGATGCAAGACATTAGCTTTGTGACACGAGTAATTATTGCTAATAAAGTGGAATATTAATAAGATAATATGGTTAGAAATAATACTTTCAATTCGAAAGTTCCTTCTGACAATGTTCATCAAGGCCTGTTCTATACATAGTAGTCCTTTCCAAAGCAACACCAGGCTTGAAATAATAATTTTCTGATGCAATGGAGTGAGCATTTGTTATGGCCTTGTGACCTACATCAAACATGTCAAATGCTTTTTTATTTTTCAAGGTAATGCTTCATTTTTGTAACATTTTCTCTCTCTTTTTTTTTCTTTCTGTTTTAGACATTAAAAGAATTCATTTCTGGTTCTGAAGCGGAGGCGGCATCTGTAACACATCTATACACCGAAGTGGTAATTTGCCAACTGTCTACATTTTCCTTGATCTGTCATATAATGTTCTCCATCTCTTTTGATTGTGTCTCCAATCATTTTTTTAACCTTTATGGTGGGCAGGGTAAAAATGCAGATTCACTTGCACTCTATTTTGGTGAGGATCCTACCCGATGCCCATTTGAGCAAGGTATATTGTGGATGTAATACCTTTCGTAACTTTTACAACTGAGTAGTCATCTATGGTGTGCATACGAGAATGTTAGAAAAAGGCTTTTGATTCATCTTTCTTTCTTTTTTCTTCAACATTCGAACTCCAATTGGGGCCCTTATTGTTATTTCTTTTTTACTTTGATCTGGAAATAAGGATCAATCATGGTATGGTTAATGAACTGCGGTATCTTGTTAGAGCCAAAACCGAAGGAAAATCTTCCAGAAGAAGTAAAAAGGAAAAGAAAAGATGAGAATGAGCTATCTACGGAAGGATAAAGGCGATTATGTGATTGAATTTAGAGTCAAACATGAAAAAATGAAGAAAAAGTTGTTCCAAACTTAACAAATATCAGTTGGTCTTGTGGGATGAAGTATTAGATTCTTTAAGCAAGATCAGATGTTTGAACCCTGGTGTTTGCGAATAGAGCAAACTAAGTTGCGAGGGTCAGCCATAATAGGCCTCTGTAAACCCAATATGGATTAGTTGGTCAATAGACTGGATAGTAGTGGATTAATTCCAAAAAACAACAATAGAAAGTAGTTGTATAGTTTTTTTGTAAAATAAAAAAACTATGGTTTCCTGAATTTTATAATTTGGTCAGAATGGAGGAAATGGCTTATTGGTACAACCAACTTACATCTGGTCGTATTGGTTTTTATGTTGAAATAAAATCAGGCTTTTATATCAAATATTCAAGTTGTTAGATCTTCAAAAATATCTTTGTTTTTTTTTTGGTATCAACTCTCATCTGTTTCATTGTACTCCGATTCTGTTTAATATTAATGTATTAGAGCCTTCATCGTAGTTATGGTTTCGGTTATTTCAAACTAAATTAACATGTTCCCTCATAGTATACCAAGTTTATATGGTGATTTGAAGTTAAGTTATTTGTATCCGATGCTGCATTTGATCAATGCAGTTACAACAACACTCTTAAATTTTGTGAGGTTGTTTCGAAAAGCACACGAGGAGAATATGAAGCAGGCCGAAGTGGAGCAGAAGAAAGTCGAGAAGGAGGCTGAAACGGATAAGAACAAGGGAACGGAAGAAGCAGAATAGTCAAGGATTGATTTCTCTATTCCTACAAAGGTAATATTGCCCGTCTCTGGCAGCTGATGTCTGTGCCGAAGAGCTCGACTCAATGATAGGAAATGCTGGCCTTGTAGGGATGTTCACTGAAGATGCCTACCATTCTCTGGTATCGGTTCAATTTTAAAGCCTTCAGAGATGTTGCAAATGATGCAAGGGCATTGTTCTGGAAGCTTGCTGGCCTCGAACTTTGTATGAGGCTTCAGGAGACAGTTTTATACGGTAAGTTGCTCAATCCCATTACCGTTGAATGATTGGTGAAACTTTCGGAGCAGATGTCAGATGGACCGAGCTTCGAAGCAGAGTGGTTATGACCACAACCTAGCAGAGCCGAGGTTCTTAAATGCAGCCTATCAAGGTCACTGCTATGGCACTTCTAGCATTAACGTCATTCTGAAATCGGTGTTGCGGGCCATCACTTGGCAATGTTAGACGAATTATTTTCAGCTTCCGCCTTTCATTTACCGTATTTCCTTCAGCTCCGGAGCGGATGTGGGACTGTAAACACTGGAAGAAGCCCTGCTGTACCATGAAAAAGTGTAGGTGTACAAAAGCTCTAGCCACATACAGTAAGCATTCAATTCTTTATCTTGTAACATAGTCATTTTTTTTATAAAATAATATTTTCCTCCTTGAGAAAAAAGAATGAGAATTAGCCAATCATAGAAGAAATTGTATTGGTTGTTTAGGTTTCAGAAATGAGAAAGAAAAAAGATACAGGCTTTCTTTGTGTAATTGTAATGTAGCACCAATACTTTGCTATTTTTTTTTATAGGAAGTTAAGGTCTTGTTAAAAATCCCCTTCATGATTAACGGAACACCAATTGGTGTTCCTTAATCAGCGGAAGGAGGAAAAGAGTGCCTCATAATTCATTAATAAGTAAAAGATTACACAATGTTTAAAACAAAGAAGCCCCTTACAAAAACAACCCGAAACACACCAAAGAACACATCTTTCACTCAATTAAACAATATCCCAACTGGATTTTACTTTGCTATTGATTGTAAACTTGCTTCTTCTCTTTCAGTGACTCGAATTTTGAACTTGTTGGATGTTACTTGGCTTTTATAATAGACCTAAACTGTCAATGTTGGTCGGTATGCAAGGACCAAAATGATACGTAAACTGGAGTTCACTGCTTAAAAATGAAGCATTTTAAAGTTTAGTGATAAAATCTGTACGTAAACTAAAATTCACAAGAAATAAAACCATGTCGTAGTTAACGATTTAAAGACCCAATGTTTATATCCAAGTCAAAATCAAAATTTAGTACGAATAAAGATTTTAAAATTCAATGATAAAATTGATATAACCCTAATATTTAATGACATTTGATATAATTTACTCTTCGATAAAATATATTTTTATTATTGTATACATTGCTAGTAGAGTTTTTTTTTAACAAAAATCATAAAATTTAAAAACTATCACGGTTTTTTTATTCAATAAACACTATTATATTATACTTGTAACTTCTAATTTATATTATATTATACTTGTAACTTCTAAAAAGATAATTGGATTTAATTGCACAACTGCTCAATGACCTCTAATTTAAAATTCTAAGAACATTATACCTAATTTGATCATTGAAAATTTTGTCGCATTTTTACATTATAAACAAATTAAATAAAACATGGACAGATTTATGCCTACAAAAACTGTCTATAAAGTTAAAAACTCAACAACAAATGCATAAAATACTAATCCCAATAAAAGCATCTACAGAAGAAAGGCAAAGAAGCTTTAAATAAAAATGGGATTTCCCTACATAAATCTTTTATACAATTCTCAAATCAAATCAAATGGTTAATATTCTACATATCTGTTCATCCAAAAACAAATCACAAATCTCTTCACCCATAAAGCTAAAAACTAACCCTAACCCCAAAATATAATTAAAAAGGAACAAAAGTAGATGATTCAAGAACTTCAGAAAATGCACATCAGCATCAGCATCCTTAAACTACATCCCTATTAGATCACATTCCAACTCTTACTTTTAAAGTTTCGGAAATTAATCCGATGATTTCGCCGATTTCAATCTATAAACATCATTATCCACAACATCAGTTTCGGTTTTGGTTTCATCATATTAATGTTAACTAACACATAAATGCTAAAAAAAGAAAAGAAAAGAAAAGCATGAGTTTTCACTTCTACATGAATGAGGCTGTCAAAAGGAAAACGATGTGTTACTGTCTCAAATTCTCGCAACAAGATCATCCTTCATGTCCGAGATGCCGGTGTTTTCACTGGACAGCTTCAAATCTCAAAGATTAAATACCCTTCAAGCATAAATCAAATAAACAGTTGTAATTAGGAACCATTTTCTTAAAAAATATAACAGACCATGTATAATCACAGTAGTTTCCCTTGAGCAGCAGAAGTAAACTGGAGATATGCATGATTAAGTAAAGTTTTCAACTCGACACCAGAACAACAATTGCTTCGTCATGGTTAACAAACGCAAGCAAGTATACAGCAAAAAAAAACACCTATAAGAAAATCTGCAAGTAAATCTCAGGAAAATAAGTTGAGAATCTTATGACGGAATACGCTATCAACAATGTATAAAATGCGGGGCAATGACCAATACTTCCCTAATTACATATTAAAGCAACTCAGCGCATACATTAAATCTCTTAGGTACTGTAGAAATGTATGTAAAACAAGAGATCTACTACAATAAACATTGCACAAATCAATATTTGGGATGTAGTATACAGTCATAATCGGACGAAGATAGCAAAAATATGAATAAAAACCATCATTACATGAAACTTAGCTAGCCTACAGCATCATTTTGAGATCATCAACAATTAAGATACATGACTATAAAGAAAGAAATGTATGAGCAATATTGAACATCAGCAATCCCACAAATTCAGAGAAAAGAAAATTCAACTATAATTTTATGCGGATGAATATTGTATAATACAATGATGGAAACATGGTCAAAAAACTTACTTCTTCCATGAAAAACCGAGACCATACTCCAGGGTTGAAGATTCAGGCAATGTACGACCATACTAAGAAAGGCTATGAAATGACAACCATGAGACAATCAGCTGAGAAAGACATCAAAAGTGAATGATGAACCCAAGGTTTCAGCAGTTACTAATTCTTTTCTATTGATATTAGGTTTAACAGAAAGATTCTGATATAGAAGGCATCAGAGAAGTCAGTCTGAGGTAAGTCATCGCCTCTTCCCATAATCAGCATCTCTAGATCTAGAGCGATGTTCCTCTTCTTGTGATAATCCTGACTTGATGCGAGTCTTTGATGATTGTCCCCTATCCCAATCATTATCATGCTCAGGTTCACGGTCCCTGTACCTACAATGATCTGCATATTTGCCTTTGTCTTCCCTATATCGGTCCCGATCCTGGTCTCAATCACGTTCCCTATCACGGTTGCAGTCACGACCACGAGAGCACTCCCTATCCCTGTCACGCTCCCTATCACGTTCTCGGCCAACTTCTCTATCATCCTGGTGCCCTCTTCTTGACGAATCATGACCATGGCCCGTATCCTTCTCTTCGGGCATGTCCCTATCATATCCTGGTTCTCTATCAATACGATGCCTTATTTCAGATGAGTCAGACCACTCCTTTTCTGAAACTCTATCTTTTTCTTTCATAGGGTTTTCCCAACCTACTCTATCATGACTAGCCTCACCCTGTTGACGATCAAATGCAGCTTCCTCCCCATAACTAGACTCTCCAGCTCTGCCACCACCATGCTCATCACCACCCCATCCTCCCATGCCGTGATCTGACCACCCCATATTAGGCCCATCTACACCACTTGCAGACATCATCCCCGTACCATTCATGGCCATAACTCTTCCAAAAAATGCAGGGTTAACATGAGGAGCCACTCCAGGCAAACCAACACTGCCAACAGGAGGGAACGAATTTATAATCCCAGAAAAGGGAGGCATTAGAGTGCCAGGAAAGCCTCCATAACTGCCCATTCTTCTTATAGTTCCACCAAAAAAAGGACCAAAACCTTGACCCATCATAGACTGTGGATGCATGAGAGGTGGCACTGCACCAATACCCTGTCCGAAACCATTTCCACCATTTCCCATGATACCTCTACCACCCATCCCACCACCCCTGTTCCTCATAGGACCAACAGGCCCCCTATTTCCCATGCCCTGAGCATTGCCTCTTCCCATGTTCCCTCTCCCGTAACCTCTGTTATTATCCCCACCTTGATAATTCCCACCGGTTTGGATGTTATTGCCAATGGGCTTGCCTCTAGCATCGTCAGGGCCCCTCCTAGCTTGTGAAAGAGCAGACTGTGCCATCTGTTGGTTCCGATTCAATTGAGCCTCTCCCATTTTCTTAACAGTAAATGGTGACGCAAAGGCAACAACACAGGGCCTTCCATTAAACATGTGTCCATTCATTCCCTGGTTACAAGATGTGGCTGTGGCTGGATCATAAAACTCAACCTGACATTATCCTTTTGACTTCCCACTTGCTTTCTCATCAAAAAACTTCACTTCCTTCACGGGCCCATGCTTGCACAACTCCGACTTCAATTCAGCATCTGTCGTCCACCAATGCAAATCCCCAACAAACAATATCGTCCCACCACCACTTCCACCCCATTTGTACCAACACCAGGAGCAGAACAAGGAACAGCACTAGGCAAACTCACATTTCCAACGCCATTCCCAATCATAGGACCACTGCCACCACCAACGTTCACATTCAAATTCCCACCACTTACTCCTTGCCTCATCAAACCCTCATTCTCAACGCTCCCCACATTCCCTACACCATGCCCCTGATGTCCCGTACTACCCACACCAACTAAGCCATTGTCGTTATCATTCCTACTCTTCTCTACAGCCATATCATTCAACTTACTTGACGCTTGTGCCAATTCAACCCTAAGCCCACTTCCACCACAACTGATACCCGCACTAAGTCCCTTCATGTCGTTATAAGCATCACCTCTGAGCCCTTGACTCTTGTAAGAAACCCTAGAAGCCCCTCTTTCAACACCATCTGCACCCCCGGGATTTGAAACACCAGATTCAGGTGCACCCTAACTTTCCCACCAATATTATTATTGTTATTGCCAACACTATAGTTCCAATTTGCACTATCCTTAGTTTCCTCATTTCTAAACACTAAATCTTCGTTTTTTCTTAAAGATTGAAGAAACCCTTCGCCAACATTAACATCATTATAAAGATCCTCATAATCATCATCTTCTTCGCCTAGAAAACCCTCGTCAGCAACAGCTGAGATTGCTTCGTTTCTATGGAACTGTTCCATCTGATCCCCTCCCTCTCCATTATCCATATTTCCACTTAAATTTCTCAAAATAATTATATATAAATATCCTTCAACAATTTCAAAGCTTTAACTCTCTCCCCCTGATTCCTGGGAATAAATGAGAGAGAGTCTATATTTAACGAAATTATAACATAAATAAATTGTAATTCATTAACGAATTTAGGAATCTTACCAGGTTGGTTCAAGTGAGATCAAATAGAGGGAAGGAGGCGAAACCCTAATATTGAAAGTTTGGGAATTTACATAGGATATTTTTTTAATGATCTAAATTATTAATAATATAAAAAATTATATAAGATGCATACATGAAATATTTTCTTTTACTCTCCTTGGTTAATGAATTTTACTATTTTTTAAAAAAAGTAATTACTTTTTATTCATATTGATACACATTATTTACAACTGAAAGCTTTTAATCACCGATAAATTGTTAACAATTTACGTGGAAATATTAAGCAAATGCATCACCAAATAAGTCGTACCATGAGATTTTCAAGCCAGATAAAAATAAATTCAAACCACAAAACCTAATATAAATAAAATGCACATCTTTCTAATAACTTATTTTCGTTTTCAACTAATTTCGGGAAGATCTCAAATTTCATGTATTTTTTAAAATTAATATTTTTATGAACAATGAGATCATCTTAATCACTACAATAACAAATATTAATCATTTAAAATCATGTCAATAATAGTAAGATTTATCATTCAAAACCATTTCTTGTAAGTTTGCAAAAAGACAATTAAGCTTCTATAATTAGTAGTTGGAGATAGGCTTCAACCTCATCCTATCTTACACTAACACAAGTTATGTTGGCTTAAGATGCATTCCCAACTATGAAATACATTTGCATGTAACTCATTCTAAAAATATGTTACGTGAAAACAGTCGAGAATTTAGCTGAAATCGGAGTATGCCTCAATTACTTATTTTTTATATAAGATATTTTATAAATTTTAAGTTCAAATTCAATATTGATAATTTATATTCTTAATATATATTTATATTTGTATATCAATTTATTTTAATTTACGCGATATCAATAGATTGACAGATAATTAAGATAGAACTTATAAATAAGTTCCTTCAAGATTATTGTGTTAATTTATTTTTGTACATCTTATTTGGTCTGATAAAAAAAAGACAGAGTATATAAATGGTTTATTGATTATATGGTTTTATTTTGTTGAGTCATATGATTATTAAAAGTTATAAAATAGTCATCGGTTATATGGTAATGCTTTGTTGAATCTCACTGCTATTAAAAGTTATAAAATTAGTCTTTTATGTTAAAAAACTGAAGGTTGCATAAGATGACAGTTAATATGTTGACTGTGATATAATAAATTATGATCCTAAAATCGTTTTGAACTATCTTTTGTGGATCAATTCTTTATTACATTATATTTTCGAGTCAATGTTTGAAATATTATATCGTCAAGAAAATGCTTGAAAGCAACTATGGTGCTAACATATATCATTAAAATATAATTTTATCATATCTCAATTAGCAAGTTAACGACCAACTCAAATAACCGTTAATTTTTAAAAAATAATATATAAGTTTGAAACATATAAATAATAAAATGATTATTTTATAACTTTTAATAATAAAAAAACTTAAAATATTTTTGCTTGTCCACGGCATCATTTCGAATTGAAATATTGGTCATACTGCTATCATGTCAACGTGGCGACTAGTCATTGGGTTATGACGCAACAAATCAAGACCTGAAACGCGGGCTGCGTTCGTGGGGCCCATTTGATTACGGGTAGACCGTTAAAAATGGCCGCCTAACTCCGACCTCATTTCTCTCTTGTGGGCTCACCCAAACAGAAAATCTCTTTAAGCGCTGATGTTGGGACCCATTTATAAGGAATTGACCCCTTTGCCCCTTGGAAATACTCCTATAATTCCTATTTTATATTTTTTAATAATGTAATATAATTAAAAATTATATTTCGAGATATACTCTTTATTAAGGTTCACGAGATTTTTTCAGAAAATTTTAGATGGAAATATTAAATTTAATAAAATCAAGATTTTGGAAACATGCTATTTTTGTATCTAAGCCAATTTTTTATTATTATGATAATTTATATATTTGATTATTGATTTTATTTTTTAATTTTAATTCTTTTTATTTTATAGCATAGTTTTTAATTTTTTCCATCTAACAGTGGTGTTTCCTTCCAAATTCAAATGTGGGAGATCGAAAAGGATAAAAAATAATATATTTCGATTTAATAATAATCCGCCAATAAAAATTATGGATGAAACTAAAATAAAATCAAAAGCCCTTGGTTGCTTAGAACTCATAATCCGCTAGAAAAATGGTTAAAGTATCATGTCGCGTATTGTTTAATTAATTTAAATCGAGTACTACAGAGGTAAAGACGATCAACCCAACTTAGTTTACTCTATTGACAAACGTCAGGATTCGAATCTTTAATTTTACTTAAAGAATTTAATACCTCATCCTACTATACGAACTTATATAGCATGGAGTAGGTTTTGCGATATTGTATTGTCACGTGCCTACAACTAATACTCCACGTGCTGTTTTGAATTTGCACTTATGTTTAAATAAAATATAAAAAAAAAAATTAATTTAGTAATATAAGCATATTCTTACATAATAATTAAAAAAGGTTAATAATTCCAAATGTGAAATCCATGAACCATGAAATTAGTGAATCATAGAAGCCAAACCTTTTATGTATAAATTAATGAAGGTTGAATTTCTTAAATAATGCAGTTGAAAAAAAATTATTCGAATATGGTACTCTCGAAATTATTTCGTGAAATAGAGTGAATGCTACAGTAAATCCGAAGACGCATTGGAGTCCAAGCGACTTACACACAAATTTGATATTTTTTCAATACAAAGGGTAAATTACACAATTAATCATTCAACTTTATTATCTCCACCTAGAATATTCTAGAGGGAGATAATAAGCATGATGTTGGTTTCTTTAGTACACAAATTTTTAATTGAAATTGGGTTTAGGTAGGAGTTATGACCCCCACTAATTTAGGGTATAATAAAAATAAATTAATTAAATGCAACTACATTGTTTTGGACAAACAATTTCAATTAGAAATTATGTAAGCACGATGTTGGTTTCTTTAGTACACAAATTCAATGCTTGGACTCCAAAAAAAAATACCCTTTGTACATTTATGAAAAAGTGAAAAAATTACCCTTTAGTACACAAGTTGAGTGATTAAATTGAAAAAATTAAAAGTACAATGAGTGAATTTAGAGAAAGAGTAAAGTTGAATGATTAATTTTGTAATTTACCCTTTGTACATGAAAAAAATATGAGAGACGCATGGAGTGCAATGCGTCTCCCATATTTTTTTTTCACTTGTACAAAGGGTAAATTACCAACTTTACTCTCTCCAAATTCACTCATTGTACTTTTAATTTTTTCAATTTAATCACTCAATTTTTGTTTTACTTCTATTTTGATCACTCGTCAACCATTGTTCAAGTTGTTATATGGAAGCCAATTTGATCCATCAACTCTAGCATTGAATTTGTGTACTAAAGAAACCGCCATCGTGCTCACATAATTTCTAATTGAAATTGTTGTCTAAAACAGTGCAGTTGCATTTAATTAATTTTTTTTATTATACCCTAAATTAGTGGGGGTCATAACTCCCACCTAAACCCAATTTCAATTAGAAATTATGTGAGCACGATGTTGGTTTCTTTGGTACACAAATTCAATGCTAGAGCTGATGGATCAAATTGGCTTCAATATAACAACTTGAACAATGGTCGATGAGTGATCAAAATAGGATTAAAATAATCCATGTTATTGTAGAGTGATCAAAATAGGAGTAAAATAAAAGTTGAGTGATTAAATTGAAAAAATTAAAAGTACAGTGAGTGAATTTGGAGAGAGAATAAAATTTAATGATTAGTTGTATAATTTACCCTTTGTACATTTACATAACAATGAAATTGATGAAAAAATATGGGAGACGCATTGCACTCCCCCAAATTTGTGTGTAAGTCGCTTGGACTTCAATGCTTCTTCGGGTTTACTGTAACATTCACTCTATTTCACGAAATAATTTCGAGAGTGCCCTATTCGAACAATTTTTTTCCAACTGCGTTATTTGAGAAATTCTATAAATTTTAATATATGAATTTTGGTTTTTAAGTTATAATTTAACACACACATATATATATAACTAGTTATATGAATGTAGCTAATTCAATATTTTTTTTCAATTAAGTATTTGAATTTAATTTTTAGATTTTCATAAGTATTTAAACTTGCATTTATGATTCAAATTGATTTAAATAAATTATTATTGTAAGTATCACCCTCGATACAAAAAAAAGTGAAGTTTATGAATCAATTTAAACTTAAAAGTCAAATTTATGAACCTAATTGAATCATAAAAACTAAAATTACACAAATAGTCTCATGACTATAGGGCATTGTTTTGTTAAGTCTCAGACTATTAAAAGTTATGAAATTGTCTCCGACTATATAGAGTTGTTTTGTTGAGTCTCTTGACTATTAAAAATTATAAAAATGTCACCCGACTATTTATTATGTTTCAAACTCGTCATTTTTCGTTAAAATTTTAACAACATTTTGAGTTGGACGTTAATCTGCTGACTAAAATATGATAAAATCTAATCTCATAATCTTAAACGACAATATTATCTCAGTCATCATGTTAACGTCCAGCTCAGACGACCGTTAAATTTTTAATGAAAAATGACGAGTTTGAAATATAATGAATAGTCGGGTGATCATTTTGTAATTTTTAATAATCGAATTACCTAACAAATCAACTATTTATAGTCGAAAGATCATCTTGTAACTTTAAATAATCGAATGACTAAACAAAAATAATATCTTATAGTCGAGACATCATTCCTGTGCTTTACCCAAAAGCTTAATGTACCAAATTAAACCTTAAAACAAAATACAGTCAATCTATTTTAACACAAAAATTTAAGATTCACTCACTAAAATATAAATTTATCTCAACCTCTAGAATTTTATGCTTCAATTCAGAGTTTCCATTAAGAAAAATCTATGCACCAACTCAAACCCCTCATCTTTACCATACAATAACAGTAGCAGAAAGCGTTAATCTTGTAGACCTGGCAGTTTCCCCCCCCCCCCCCTTTTGATTCATCAAATGCTTCTTCATTTCAGTAATGCCAAAAACAATCAAGATCCACTGGTCCGGCTGAAGAAGCAGAAGGTGCGTCTCGATCATCAAATGACTCCTTCCCGGTTTCCAGATTCGATACAGCGAATGAGATTCCCGGGTTTTCGAAACCCTGAAACCTTTTCACGTTCGATCCATGGTTTTCGATCAGCGCCCTCAACGCCGACTGTTCCTGCACCGAAACGGAGCCCGGGAGTCGAGAATCACCGCCGTGAAAGCAGCTCGGAACCGGCAATTGTGGGAAGACCCGGGAGGAATTCGATGGAACGTGGAGATTGTTGTTGTTGTTGAAATTACGATCGACTGTGTTTTGTTGATTGGAGAAGCAGGGCACGTACGGCGACTCGGCAAGAACCGGTTTGGTTGTGTTGCTGCCGTTAATGTACGGTGAAGAATCCATTAATGGCGGTAGTAAACCAGCAGAAGGCAAGCCGTTTTTGAAAGAGCTTGCCTTAACGAGGCCTGAAATAGGGGTTTTTTTCCCATCTGATCCCTTCAGGAATACCCTGCAGATCACCCATTCATTCTGCAAAATATAACTCCATCTTTAGCCAAATGGTTCATATCATCACTCTTGAATAACAACATTTAAATTCGAATCCCAAGGATTTATTAATGATCTGGGTGTTAAAATAAATTATTATTTTTCTAAAATTAGGATTCAAATAATTATATGTATAATGTATATACTTGATCAATTAATTAAAAAAATTCTAAACAAATACTATCTTACAAACACTTTAAATTATTTATAAAAAAATGAGAAAAAAAGTAAAAGTTACCTGGGCAGTTTTAGGGAGATTGTGGATTGAGAATTTGCCATCAAGTCTATATTCATGCATGACCCAATTTGAATTCACACCTTTAGGAGCTCTTCCTTTGTAGAAAACTAGAGTTTTTTTCATCCCTACCAGTGATTTCCCTCTGTAAATCTCTTTATCTTTTCCAGTAGCTTTCCAATACCCGGAATCAGTGGCCCTATTCGTCCTCAAACCAGTAGGGTATTTCCTATCTCGAACGCAGAAAAAATACCACTCTTTCTCTCCCAGTTTTGCCTTCCCTGTTTTCCATCACACCAAACAGAAGATAAGAAAGTGTTAGACTTAGAATCGATCTTCCTGGAAAACAAACACATCTAGGAAAGTTTTTTTCCAAAAAAACAAAAGAACCGAAGACGAAAACTCTTAACAAGGCAATTCCCATGGCTCGGACTTGTTCAAATCCACCTCTCCAATGGCTATTGAACTGAAGTTGATGTCAAGGAATTTCTTGTACAAATATTGATAAATAAGCTCTTCATCTGTTGGGTGGAACCTGAAACCCGATGGTAAATCCAATTTATCATCTTTTTCGCCAATATTTGTCATTCCTGAAACAACCCAAATCCCTTCCGTTCAAAATTCAGCTTAAAATCTTAAAGAAACCCACAAGTCTACATATATATGTGATAAGCAGGCGAAATTCTTAGTTTATAAGAGCACTTAAAAGGTCGATAAAGAACTGATAAAGATATTAAAATGGAAATATGAGCAGCAAAGCAATAACATCGAAAAGCTTATATAAAGCTAAGGATTGAGAGAAAAAGGAGAAGCCAAGGAAGAACTAAAAAAGAAGTAAACCTGAAAGATTGAGAAAGAAACTTAGTATGTAAGGCAACTTGGTAGGTTGTTTTATAATAATCATAATCAAAGAGACGGAGTATATAATTTATTTTAGTATGAATTGATTTTAAGGTAATATCTATGAATTTTTTTAGTCTATTGACAATACATTCTGCAAATGTAAATGTTCGAATTCGATTCTTTAAGGAGAACAACACTGCCCTTTATAAGTGAGGTCACTCTAGATACATAATAATAGTTGTTGCATAATGATTTTATATATAATTTAACAATTATGATGTTCGAGTTATAATATATTCAAATTTAAATTAAATTTTTTTATTTAAACTAAAATAAATTTAGATAAAAATATAATTATAATATTTTTTTAATAGTCTAAGGTGATTACAAGATAGTATATGTTCAGAATCTTTCTTAACGTCATTGATAACGCGTACACACTCGTAAACACATCTACTTGAAATCAGAACCTCTAAAGAAAATAACTTTCTCTTTAATCATTGAGACCAATTATAAATTCTACCTATTATATTTAGGTTTTACGAAATTCAAATTTATATTATTAAAATTATTTGATTTATTAATAGTAGATGTATGCATTGTCATTTGAGTACAAACAATAATAATTATAATACTTGTTTGAACAAATAATAATAATATTTGCTTTTTTTTTCCAAAATAATAATGATACTTGTAATATGAACATTATTAATACTAATATTTGCAATGTTGATAATAATGATGATTATTTTTTTCTATCACACCTAAATGTTTAATTATAATATTTATAAATCATGAATTAATATATATTTATAAAATAAATATTTATTAATAGGTCATTTATATTATTTTACAAATAAATCATCCAATACAAATATGAATAAAATTGAGTTTTCCACAATATTAATTATGATTGTTATCATTATTGTTTTTTAAGATTAAAAATTAAATACATTAAATATAATTATTATTTGATTTAGGGTCTATGAGATTATAGTTAGAGGTATTGTATAAAGAATATAAAAGTTACATTTTCCATATCTCAATAGAGAATCCAAATAAAGATATACAATTTGTTTCAAGCCAATTATTATTTTAAAGAGCATGTGGATATTTTTTTTAATTTATTTATTTTTGTTTGATCTTAATAACTGTTACAGATTCATGAAGAAGATTTGGATCCAATAAGGTGTAGGGTGTTGATTTTCCTGGGTGTGCTCAGCCAACATGTATTATTTTATTAATTTTTATTAAAAAATGAAAATATGTGATTTTTCTCGATGTGGGAAAAGAGCTTTCACATAACAGATTTTGTTTTCATTCTATTCATTGATGATATTATTATATATGTGATTAAAATTTATGGAAGATAAATTTATCTTAATAGTAGAAAGAATATTATTATTTTTAGAATATATGAATTTGAACAGTTATGCTTATAGGATATACGTATATTATCAATAAATAAAAAAAATTAAAAATATATTATATTATAATCACTCATATTATTAAAAAAACTTATGGAATGTGAAGATTTAACCTATCAAACGAAAAAGAAAATAAAATAAGGAGATTGTCATGGAAATTGCCGACAGATATCGACGACTTTAGGATAAGATTAAATTGAATAAATGAAATAAATATTAAATATTAAATTTATTTTTGAAAAAAAAAACTATGAAATCACTAGTAACTACGCACATCTACACGAAAATTGCTGATAATTGTACACGATATTGACAGAATCATCAAAATCATCAATATTGATTATAGTAGTAAACATTACACTCTCCTAAAACATTAAGATCTCATTTTTTATTTTTATTTTTTATAACATATCCCTAATTTAACCTAACTCCATCCCTATACAACCCCATTATTATTATTATTATTATTATTATTATTATTATTATTATTATTATTATTATTATTATTATTATTATTATTATTATTATTATTATTTAGATGAAATTGTTGTGAAATTCAGGTTAATTTCCACCAATAATAACAAATTCACCTTGAAAACTATTATCTAGGTGATTAGTGTGAAAACGATTGTACTAAAAATCACACCAAGCTAGATTCCCATAAAAGAGGAGGGGTCACAATGGTCCCTCTTAAAACCCACTTTCCTTAGATAGAACTACCAAGACAAGTAATTTTAATAGGACAATAATTAACAACAACTATACCCGACAATAGCTATTAAATAGACATAAAAAGAACACCAAAATTTAACGAGGTTAGGCCAAAATTTATGCCTACCTCCTCGAACACTACTAAAATAATATTTCACTAGTATAAGAAATATTACAAAGAGAGAAAGAGTACAAATAGCCTTTAATAGTGAAGAAGACTTATATTTGTGGGATGCTAAACTAAGGAGGAGTATGACTTTATTTATAACAAAAGAATTTCCCCTCCTCCTTATACACAACCAATGTGGTACTTTGCCAAAAAACCAACAAATCTCCACCTTGACAAATTCCACACACATCTCTCAAAAATCCAATCTTCAGTAGTGTCTGCAAATTCATCTTTCAATTGGTAACAATATTGACCAAGTCTAAACAATGTTTAAACTTGACCGCAGTTACCACTTTTGTCAACATATCAGTAGGATTCTTAGTGGTCCGAATCTTCTGGATTATGACTCCACCTTCTTTTAGAATCTCTCGTACAAAGTGATATCGAACATCGATGTGCTTCATCCTTGCATGGTAAACCTGGTTCTTTGCTAAATGAATAGCACTCTGACTGTCACAATGCACTTTGATGTGCTTCTGTTCCATTCCCAATTCACCAAGCAACCCTTGAAGCCAAATTGCCTCCTTCACAGCCTCTGTAACTGCCATATACTCTGCCTCTGTAGTAGACAAAGCTACTGTTGACTGTAAGGTGGACTTCCAACTGACTGGTGCCTTTGAAAATGTAAAAACATAACCAGTAGTTGATCGACGCTTGTCCAAATCACCTGCATAGTCTGAATCACAATACCCAACTACACAATGACCATCTTGTTTGTCATGCTGAAAGACTAAACCAACATCTACGGTGTTCAGAATATACCGCAGAATCCATTTCACAGCTTGCCAATGCTCCTTTCCAGGATCATGCATATACCTGCTCACAACCCCAACTGCCTGTGAAATATCGGGTCTCGTGCACACCATTGCATACATCAAGCTACCAACAACACTTGCATACAGAACCTTTGACATGTATTCCCGTTCTGCATCATCCTTAGGTGACATGGATGCACCGAGCTTGAAATGAGGAGCAAGAGGTGTACTAACTGGTTTTGACTTCTCATTCATGCCAAAATGTTTTAGTACCTTCCTCAGATATTCTTTCTGAGACAAACAAAGCCTCCCCAATTTCTTATCCCTTGATATCTCCATGCCTAGAATCTTCTTCGCTTCACCAAGATCCTTCATCTCAAACTCCCTATTCAATTGAGTCTTTAGTTTCAACATAAAGAAGATTATATATATATGATCCGTCTTGTAGCTTGCGTAAATACACACAATGATCATATTTGCTTCTTGTGTACTTCTGCTCTATCATAAACTTGTCAAATCGCTTGTACCACTGCCTTGGAGATTGCATTAACCCGTACATCAATTTTTCTAATTTGCACACCATCTCTTCTTTTTCAACAACTTTGAATCCATCTGGCTGAGTCATGTAGATTTCCTCATCCAAGTCTCCATGTAAAAATGCAGTTTTTACATCCATCTAAACTAGTTCTAAATCCAACTGTGCTACAAAAGCCAACAAAATTCTGATGGAGGAATGTTTTACAACTTGAGAAAATACTTCATTATAATCAACTCCCTCTGTTTGAGCGTAGCCTTTAGCCACTAATCTTGCTTTGTAGCGGATGTTATTCTTGTTAGGAAATCCATCTTTCTTTGCATATACCCACTTGCACCCAATTATCTTCTTTCCCTTCGGAAGACTAGCTAGTTTCCACGTCAGATTCTTTTGAAGGGATTGCTTTTCTTCATTCATGGTGATCCTCCACTTTTTATGTTCTGAACTTTGGACTGCTTCATTAAAAGTGGCAGGAACGTCATCAATTACAATTGGTAATGCAAAAGAGAACATATCAGCATAACGAGCAGGTTATCTAATGGTCCTCTTTTCCTTTCTGAGTGCAATTGATTCATGTTGCTGTGGAGGTTCTTGGGTCTGAACCTCTTCTTCATCTGACTCTTCTTCTACCATAGGAGAGTCAACATCAGTTTCTTTACTGGCTGGGTCAATTCTGCTTCCTTCAAACTCCACCTGTTTGGGATTTCCATCTGTCTGCTCCAATTTTTCTGAAGTCACCTTTCTCAACATGGTAGATTCATCAAAGGTAACATCCCTGCTGAAGATTATTTTCTTTTTTCTAGACACCAAAGACGATAGCCTTTCACACCAGAGGTGATCCCCATAAAGATCGCCTTCTTTGCTCTTGGATCCAGCTTTAACTCCTTAACATGGTAGTATGCAGTGGAACCAAACACATGTAAGGAATCATAATCTGTAGCAGGTTCTCCAAACCATTTCTATAATGGTATTTTACCACTAATAACAGTCGATAGTAAGCGGTTGACAAGATGACAAGCATAGACCAAAGCCTCAGCCCAAAATTCTTTGCCTAACCCAGCATTAGACAACATACACCGAACCTTCTCCACTAATGTCCAGTTCATTCGCTCTGCCACCCCATTTTGTTGTGGTGTAGATCTGACAGTGAAGTGTCTGACAATACCTTATTCTTCACAAACTTTTAGAAATGGATCATTTTTGTACTCTCCACCATTGTCTGTACGGAGACATTTGATTTTTCTGTCTGTTTGAGTCTCCACCATCTTTTTCCATTTAAGGAAAAATCCTAGCACCTCATCATTTGTCTTCATTGTATACACCCAAACTCTCCGGGAAAAATCATCAACAAAGGTGACATAATAGTGTGTTCCTCCCAATGAAGTTGTCTTGGAAGACCCCCATACATCTGAATGAACATAATCCAAAATACCTTTAGTATCATGGATTGTTGTTCCAAATTTCACCCTCGTCTTCTTCCCTTTGATGCAATGCTCTCAAAAAGCTAATTTGCAAGCCCGAGCACCCTTCAATAATCCTTGATCTATCAGCAATTTCAAAGATTTTTCACCAACATGCCCCAAGTGCATATGCCATAACCTGGTTGCTTCTGACTCCTTTTCATCAGTAGAAGCTGCCACTGTTGTCGTCCCAACAATTGTACTACCCAGAAAGTAATACACATTGTTTCTTTTCCGGATTCCCTTCATTATCACCAGTGTACCAGAGATAATCCTCATAATCCCATCTTTTGCCCTCACTTCTAAACCTTTTGACTCTAAGGTTCCCACAGAGATGAGATTTCTCATTAAATCTGGTACATAATGGACACCTGTTAATGTTCTGATTGATCCATCCTGATTCCTCAAGCGAATTGAACCAATCCCAAGTGTGTCAAGAGGGGAATTATTTGCTGTGTAGACAATTCCACCTTTTAGTTCTTTAAAATCAAAGAATCATTCTCTATTGGGGTCATATGGTGGCTACAAGCTGAATCTAACAGCCATGAACTAGAACAGCTGGTTGATGGCGTAGCAACGAATGCGAAATCTGAATCTGCATCATCATACTCGACCATATTTGATTCTGAGACAGTCTTTCCCCTTTCAGGTTTGCCTTTGTTCTTTAGCCTGGGACATTCTTTCTTCTAGTGCCCTTTTTCTCGACAAAAGACACATTCATCTTTGCTCAATCTGGACTTTGACTTCGATCTCCCTCTCCTTCCTTTATTCTGACTCTTCGAACGACCTCTAACAACAAGAGCTTCTGCTTCGACACTTGTGTTTTCTTATTTGTCTTTCTTTCTCAATTCATAACTATACAAGGCAGCAGTTACTTCACTGAGAGATACATCAACTTTCCCATAAAGTAGAGTAGTTTCAAGATACTCAAACTCATCAGGAAGTGATCCCATCAACATCAGAGCCAGATCTTCATCTTCAAAAGTCACGTCCATATTCATCAGATCAGTCACAGCTGATTAAAGCTAGTAATGTGATCATTCATAGTGGTACCTGGTACATAGTTGAAGTGGAACAATATCTTTTTCATGTAGAGCTTGTTTTGACCGCTTTTCTTCAAAAATTTCTCCTCCAGTGCCTTCCATAATTTACTTGCAGAAGTTTCCTTAGAAAATGCATACTTCTGCTCTCTAGAAAGACACGATCGAATAGTACCACATGCCAATCTATTGATCATCTTCCATTCTTTTTCCTCAACATCATATGGTTTCTCTCCTTCAATAGAAATGTCTAGACCCTGCTGAAATAGGGCATCTAGAACCTCACTTTGCCACATGCCAAAATGACCGGTGCCATCAAAAATCTCCACTGCAAATCTAACATTTGTCACAGCTATTGATGACGATGTGGATGTTTTTATTGCGTCTGCCATTTCTACTACAAATTCTATTTAATAGCTGTCAATGCGGAATGTCAATTATCCTAAGGAAAATTTTTCTGATGTGGAAGATCAGCCTAAGCCGCAACCACATACTAAAATAAACCAAGAGCTCTGATACCAATTGTTGTGGAATTCGGGTTAATTTCCACCAATAATAACAAATTCACCTTGAAAACTATTATCTAGGTGACTAGTGTGAAAACGATTGTACTAAAAATCACACCAAGATAGATTCCCAGGAAAGAGGAGGGGTCACAATAGTCCCTCTTAAAACCCACTTTCCTTAGATAGAACTACCAAGACAAGTAATTTTAATAGGATAATAATTAACAACAACTATACCCAACAATAGCTATTAAATAGACATAAAGAGAACACCAAAATTTAACGAGATTAGGCCAAAATTTATGCCTACCTCCTCGAACACTACTAAAATAATATTTCACTAGTAGAAGAAATATTACAAAGAGAGAAAGAGTACAAATAGCCTTTAATAGTGAAGAAGACTTATATTTGTGGGATGCTAAAGTAAGGAGGAGTATGATTTTATTTATAACAAAAGAATTTCCCCTCCTCCTTATACACAACCAATGTGAGACTTTGCCAAAAAACCAACAGGAATATCAACCTTAAAATATATAAAAAAAACCTTCTTTTTGTTTTGTATAAAATGAATTGTGGTGTTGATAACCGACAAGCACAAACATGCAAGAACCTTTTGTGGTCTAGAAACTTGAAGGTGCATTCATACCAAATGCTAACTTTATTATAGATATTTAATTTCATACCAGAAAAAACTTTACCCACTAAAACATACAAGTTAAAGATTCATGCAACAACATTATTATTATTAAGAATTATTTTGTAAAACAATTGATCATATATTAAATAAAGAAATCATTTAAAATGCATATTGTGTGATTTAGACTATAAACATATTTATTTGAATGTTATCCTGATATATTTGAATAGTCTTAAACCCTAAACTTTAAATTTAAACTATGGATCTTAAACGTTTCAACACGTAACTTTAAATTGTAAATAAAACACCAAATTAGTTTAAATAAAGCATGATTATTCATTTAGTTTTTTTAATCAATTCCTAACCCTAAAACAATCAACTCACCCCAACTTATGATCAACCTAAGTTCCCCACTCATTAGTGCAGCACAATAGGAAAAGGCAATTTGACTTATAAAATAATAATAATAATAAAGAAGCAAAAATAAAAGAAGAAGTAAAAGGAAAAGAGATGATAAAATTACATGCTTTGCTTTACCAAAAAAAAAGTTGTGTTAATCATGTATTGTCTTAGTGATAAAGATGACATTTTATTTACTTTTACCTTTTATATAAAATTCAATTATATGATTGTAACTTTTTATCCATACATTTAATTTCATTAAAATTTAAGGAAGACGCCATCTTAAATTCAAGTATTTCTATTAAATAAATAAATGCAAGTATAATTATACAAAAATATTACTAATAAAGTAGTATCTTTTACTATTTGAAAGTGACTACAACAAGATGAAATCCAATAACTGAATGACACGCGCCAACGTGAGCTTCTTTGAGGAATTTCAATCGTCTAGGTAACTTATCATTAGTAAACGTCCATATCTGCCACGTACGAGTAGCGGTTCCCCTCCAAACCCTGTCTGCCACATGGCAACATGTCATCGTCTTTGCTTAACCAACTTAAGGTACTTTAACAAAACCCAATTGTTTACGGTTTACCCCTTTTAAAACTGACGTGGCAGTTAATCACACCTCTTGAGCTAAATTAGAACATGTAACTTAAACCTAAATAAATGTGAAAGATAACTCCATTTAATTTACACAAAATAAACAAATCAAGTCGGGTCAAACTCAAACCGAATCATTTTATATGTTATATGGGCCAGACTAGAACGAACAATTAGCCCCCATTTCGTGTTGAACATGATTAAAGAGGATGAATAAAGATCTGTTGTCCGACCCGGTCGGGCAACGATGAACTCTAGTCACTACCCCATGGCCACTCGTTTGTCCTAGTTTCAGACACCAAAATAATGTTGAATTCACAGTGACATAACATACCATACTGTTACATTTGTAGTAGTTTTAACGTTTGATAAGTTGCCTTACAATATTGATACCGCAACTACACTAGTTTAACCTAAATGTTCATACCAGACAGCAACTTAACAACAATTTTAACCTAATTTTCTTGGCATTAGCCTAAGAAACCTTTTTCTGTTTCTTGTCTTGCCACTCCTTGATTTCGGCTTTGATCTTTGCGTTCACGCGAGCCTGAAATCCAGGATACGGTTCGTATCCGAATAATGATTGGAGAACCTGCACCAAATAAAGAAAAGGCTAAAATCACACATTGATTATAGTTTTGGGAAATCATCTTTTCGTTTTCGTATAACAGGGAAAGATACTTCACTAACCTCGAGCAAAACAAAGAAAGGAGCCATTAGAATAGCTTGAACAAGATTGTCCAACAGGGCGGGTGCTCGTTTCTACAACAAACATATTAATGAATGATTGTAAAAGAGTTTGAGAAAAGATGATTGAAGCAAAAGAATTAATTCTATGATTATGGCCATCGCTCACCTCAAACACTCCATGGCCAAGAAACTGCCCAGACCAGCAAAGCACTTGAGCAACCATCACAACCTGAGCGGACAGAATGGAGTTAAACTTCAGGCGAATAATTGAACATACATAATGAAAAGAACTAAAGGTTAAAATTATCTTCACAATTCGAAAAGCAATATAGAAAAAGAAATCCAACGTAAGGAGTAACTCTTCCTTTTGCTCTTCCGATTCAACTATAACCAGTGTTTTCATCGCTTTCCTTCTTCATCTTCTCCAAATTTCTACCTTGCAATTTACAAACTCATTCAGCCTTCCACCACCACCTACAACCAATCCATTCCTCATGAAGCATTTATACTCCCCTTTGGTATTTTTATTTAAGCAAACCTGGGTAAGAGTCACTCGTGCAGGAGCACATTTTGCTAGTTTTGAACCATATGTTTCTGATATTTTTGTGTTGCGTAGATTTCTTGCTTAGGTGTAAAATTAATAAATATCGGTTTCGTGTAGTAAGGTTTGAGGTGAATAAAGCTTCTGTAATTTTATTGAGGGGAGAGCTAAAATAAGGAACCCCAGCGAGACAATTTCATTTATAAAGCAAAGGGGGAGAATAGATAAAGGAAAAGTGAGAAGGAAAAAATCACCTTAAATGTTTGCTATTAAAGTCAATGGACTTAAATCAGTTGATATGTGATGTTGAGAATTCGGTGTTTGTCGAGGGTTCTGGTGGCATCAACTTGGCATAGACAGCACCATCGAAATGTTCTGACATTTCTACAACGAGACTCTAGAAAAAAGTTGCATTCAAGCCAAAAGGACAATCCAAGAAACTTGAGATGAACTCGGGAGTTTTCCCTAAAAATTGATTCTCCTCAAGCCAAAGCGTTATCAAATGTGTAAACCGGTTGATCATAAAGAGAATCTCGCCAATGAACTTGCCAAGTGATAGATCAAGATGGTACAAACGAAACAACAACCGAATTCAAGAACTCATCGATGAATTCTATGCAAGATAAGAAAGAGGAGCTTGTGAGCACTGAGGTTGGAAATGTCGGATAAGTTGGGAACTCGACGACCAAAGGCAATCGTGTCGGAAATTAAGGGCAAATAGTTGGGTGAGTGAATTGAGGGGTTCAAAGGAGGCAATTAGCTGAAGGTTTTCCATGTAAATGAGATCAAAATTCGAAGATAGCTTTGTTTGAAGCCGAGTTGATGATCATTAATGCTTTCAGATCAACGTCTGGAATAGCTTAGGAACAAAGGGTAAAAAATGTCGGACTAAAAAGCAAAGGTTTCACCATTCTTATACTCTGCAACGACGAAATAGAACGGAATTTCCAAATATCTTCCAGATTCCTATAAGAAATTATATCACAAAACTTGTATCTTTCAAACAAATAACTTAACATGCAAATCAACAATATTTATAAATCCCACAGGAAATCAACAACAAAGAAAATGAGATTCCAATCATTAAAACTAAGGCTAATAAAAAGAAAACAAAATTACCTTCCAAGCTAGAGAATATCCAAGCTTTGCAGCAATAGAACTAGCCCCAAGCCAGCAAGCTAAGCAAAGAAAAGCTGCCAAAGATCCAGCTTTCTTATCCAAAACTACATAAAACAAGCCAAGGAAGAAAGAAAAAGCAGACCCATAGTTTAAAACCAAAGCATGATTAAACCCAGAAGGGAGAATCCCAGCTTGAGAGAGATCATAGAATGCTGGAGTGAAGTAGAAAAGTATAAGCGATGTGAAGAATATCGGCCACACAAATAAAGTGTGTATCAGAATGTTAATTGGGTTGCTGTGATATGCACCATAATACGCAAAATGGTTCTCGAGATCGAACAGTCTTGGCTTTCCCATCTGGGGGGGGGGGGGTGGATTTTTTTTTTCTGTTTGTTCTGATTTTTGGGGAAAATGTAGAAGGGGTGGGTGGGGGGCAACTTAAGGTTGGTGTTTGGACGATTAGAATTTAACGGCGTTTGCATTGAAACACACGTGCTAACTTTCACGTGTGGACGCTGATTAACATTAAGGGTAAAGTATAGTAATGTTCATTGAACTTTTCTAAAATTTTCATTTATATACCCCAACTTTTAAAACTTACAATATAATCTTTCAACATTTAGTCCGTTTGCAATATGGTTCCCGACGTTACACTATCGTTAGTACATTTTTAATATGGTCATTGAACTTTTCAGACACTTGCATTTAGGTTCTCCAACTTTTAAAACTTGCAACACAATCCTCAATTTCATTCTAAACCTCAAATTTATTTTCATTTTCAATCTCAAATTTCCTTTTTCACTTCTCTCTTCTCATTTCCAGCGTAACTTTTCAGTAAGGGATGCATGGGAAATTCTAATCTAACTTTGAATTATGTGGAGATATTGACTTGAATAAGGGTCTATTGAGAGAAGACCCGACCAAGGGACTATCGGGATCATCAACGATTTAAGGTGTAATGTTAGATACATGTCATCTCAGGTGAAGCATAGATGTTCAATGAAATGTTTGTGAGAAAAAATGGGGTTAGAAATGTAGAGTTGACAAATACTACTAAGATGAACTAATTATCATTGTTGAAAGTCACCAACAAAGTTGTAATTATTTTGTATAAATGGAATATAATAATTTATTCGTTTAATCCTTGTGGTTAAAGATTTTCCATTAGATGATCAAATATAATGAAATCTCAAACAGTGCTTTCACCTATCAGTCTCTTTTGCAACTCGAAAGGCATCATGACAGGGTCCAGGAGCTACTCCAAATATACTACCCTGTCATGATGTCTTTCGAGTTTTGTGCATGCAGAATTGTATTCTAAAGCTATAATTCAATACAATTCAACTATAAAATTTCCAAAACATGTAAAAATTTCAATTCGTTCACGATATATTAGTCCCATTGATAACTCCGTAAAAAGGTTATATTTGGAACCTTTTCACTTAAGTTATTGACTGTCTAAGAGCTCATATAGGATCATATAGATACATTTAGGAGCATATAGTTGCGTGTGGTGAAATTTTGTTTGCCGTGACATTTTATTTTGTAATCAGTGCTACGTTATGGGGAAGGTGTTTTGTTTAATGATGTGTAGGATTTGAGAGCAAAGATAAGCAAAAGGGAATTGCCATGACATGATGAGACTACTGAGCAAAATGCGATTGCCGCGACATCTCGAACGATATTTCTGGTGTAAAAAAAAGTCAAAGAAAATATTTTTAGTAAGAGCCAGCTGTCATGGCATAAAAAGTGCTTTCTGCAATCAGTATTAAAGGATAAGCCAGTTACCATATTTGCACCAACTCTCACATAAAAGGAATGAACTTTAAGGTGCTAGGGTAATTTTAACACAAAACCCTAGGTTCATTCTCCCCTATAAATAGGAGATGAAGCCTAACTTTTTGAGGAGACTGAGAGATTTTTAGACAGCCGCCAAGAGCCTAAAAATTCGGAGAAAAAGATCTCTCTTTTTTCCGTCAACCGTTTTTTCCGTGGCATTCCTCTGCTGACAAGCTAGAGGGAGTGGCGAACTAGGCGTCCGAGAGGAGCTAGATCGCTGGGACAGTTTGTGGTGGCCGAGGGAAGCTCCGGCAGTGCATGTCGAAGGCTTTTCCTCATCCCCTTTGATCTTTGTTTTCGTTATTTATTATTTGGGTTGTAAGGAACATATTAACTTGCTTTGTGGTTGCTTATTTTGAACCCCACCATGAACTAATCCTATTCGGTGGGAGTTTATTTTGGATATTTAAGTTTTGCTTTAATGAATGGTTATTTTTCTATGTTATATTCTGTTTTGTTTATGATGCTTAGTTCCTTAAGGTTGTAGGAGCTACGAGAGTAGTCGTTCCTTTGGAGATTACTTAGTGTTCGAGAGAATGTCTAAGTAGCACATCCTTAGTATTCGAGAGAAATTAGGGAGGAACCACATAAGCAAGGGGTTCTAGATAGTAACTAGGCCTAATCCACCTTAGAGATAAGGCTAGGATTTCATTCGACTAAAAGGAGTAGTGAACGATCGATAGGTTAGATGTTAATACTACCGCAAAAAGGTATTGCCGAGACATATCATGTTATCTGGACCAATAGGATCCCTATAGTAGCTAACGCCAATCGATTTTGCCAAGGCATCTTCAATCTGTCGAGTCCCTTAACTAGAGATAACATAGGGCAACCTTAGTAAACTCTGTAGGGCAGATAAAGCATAAAAGTAAGACCATTCTAAGAAGTAGACTTAGATTTTCCTAAGTAACTCCTATCACTCATTCCCGTAGTAGCTTGTCGTGTGAAGAGTCTAAAGTCTTTATAAGCAAATCGAGTATTTACAGTTTATTTTGCCTTTACATTTTCATTTGTTTGCACTCAGCATAATTTAATTTGCCATATCATATTCATTTGCTACCATATTACCATCATACAATTTCCACAACATCCATTCATTTTGCCGCAACATTTTAATTTGCAAATACCATCTAACTTTACTTAGGTGACAAAGTAAAGTGTTGTGACAAACTTATTTGATTTCCCCCAATCCCTATGGAGAACGATACTCACTCATCACTGTATTACTTGTTCGATTGTGTATACTTGCACATATATCCGCACCCATATTTAGTACTCACAAATAGCGGACACCCATAATCAACATAAACTTATTAAAAAGAATACGAGCTCACAGGATGCCGAAAACCACATGTCAGATCAATACAATTCCCAGTAAACTAGTACATCAGTCTCTCGGATTGAGCCTGACGATTTCACTATGTTGATACTCACAACCAATTCCCTGATTTAAAGAAAAACCAAACAAGAAGATCAAAAAATTTAGCCTAGGACCCTCTTTCACTTCTATTCCGATGGACTGAATATATCTCATAAGGAGTACTAAAAGTTTTGATTAAAAAAGATAGAAAGAAAATTAGATGGTTTTGGTTCAAAACTAACATTGAATATCCAGATCATTGACATGCATTTCCAGAAACATAAAAAATTCAACAAGAAACACACAATGCGAGCTGAAAATAGGAAAGTACGAAAGAGGAAAAGCTTACTTTCGGATAGCCCAAAAGAGAAAATAAATACCTTCTTGCAAGTGAGGGGAGATGCTAAGAAATAAACGTAATCAGTGTTGCGTTCCAACAATTCTTCCTCCATTTTTTCTTTGTAAATAAAAAACTGAAAGATAGAGCACTGCTTGGGTTTACAATTTTACATGGCAGAAAATTGAAGAACAAAAACCAAACGAGAGTGCATGTGAGCGAAAGAGACTGAGAGGTGAATGCGTTGTTTGGGATTTCATTATATTTGATCATCTGTTGGAAAATCTTTAACCATAAGGATTAAACGAAGAAATTATTATATGTCATTTATACAAAATAATTCCAGCTTTGTTGGTGACTTTCAACAATATTACTTAGTTCATCTTAGTATTATTTGTCAACTTTGCATTTATAACCCTATTTTTTTTTATCACAAGCATTTCATCAAACATCTATGGTTCACCTGACATGACATGTATCTAACATTACACCTTGAATCGTTAATGATCCCGATAATCCCTTGGTTAGGTCTTCTCTCAATGGACCCTTATTCAAGTCAATATCTCCACATAATTCAAGGTTAGATTAGAATTTCCCATGAATCCTTTACTGAAAAGTTACGCTGGAAATGAGAAGAGAGAAGTGAAAAAGGAAATTCGAGATCGAAAATGAATTTGAGGTTTAGAATGAAATTGAGGATTGTGTTACAAGTTTTAAAAGTTGGGGGACCTAAATGCAAGCGTCTGAAAAGTTCAGTGACCATATTGCAAATGTACTAACGACAGTGTAATGTCGGGGACCATATTGCAAACGGACTAAATGTTGGAAGATTGTATTGCAAGTTTTAAAAGTTGGGGTATATAAATGAAAGTTTTAGAAAAGTTCAGTGACCATTACTATACTTTACCCTAACATTAATTAATGCTTGCTTTGTTAGGTACATTTCCATTTATTAAGATTATAGTATTGTTTTTAATGAAACAAATATCATATTTGCATTAAGAAGCGAGAATAAATTTTAATTGAATTTAATGAATAAATTGACATTTTACCTAAAATTTAGTGTTTAAATTAATATTTTATATAAAGTTTAAAATCAAATTAATACTTAAATTAGTATTTGACTATTATTAAACATATGAAAATTTGCAAACAATTAAAATATTTAGTATCATACCAAACTCATGAAAGATGTTACAAGCAAGCATGCTGCTTTTTCCCCACACAAACATTTATAGTGTAATGATATGCAAGTTATTCATCACTCGGAGATGGAGCAATGGCGGATTCTGGTGCTGGAGTAGGAGAATCGCCACCCATAAATCCAAATATTTTTATAAGCTCTTTAGCGATGAGCTCGTTGGCACTGTCCGACGGATGATACTCGACCCAAAACGCATATTTAGTTCGATCTCTACACAATGTTGAAGCCGGTGTGCATGTGAGAGCTGGTCGAATTCTTCTCAATGAACAACATGGAGAATCAACATTGTCAAATCCTGCAAAATTGTAATCAACTGTAATTAGTTCAACCTTCCTATGGAATATCTTTAGTGATGGAATTAAGAGCAATGGCGACGAATATTTCCGTCACCAATACCGTGTGCTACGTTTTTTTTCCCCAAAACGAAATAGTATTGGTGACGAAATATCTATGTCAATAGAAAATTTCATTGAAGAAAGATTCATTCTCTTGTAGCTTATAAGAAGGTTTTCTTTTCTTAATCATACATTAACGTGATGGTAAAATTATGCATAAGTCCTTAAAAATTATAGATTTCTAAGTTGATACATGGTAAAGTTACCTTTTAGCTCCCTAATTTTTTTTTGATTTAGTCCTAAAAACTGCAAACCTACAAACTAATATAGTGGTAAATTTGTATTTGAATCCCATAAAATTTATAATTTGATTTCAATTTTCTAAAAGATTAGTTTCGTCTCTGATTATGACTTACCGTATCTATAAGGATTACGAATCACATTGTCTACAACATCGTAAGCATCTCCCAACTTGAAGCTAGCATTGGGAAGTTGAGTTTCCAAATCAACTAATAACTTGCTTGCAGCTTTACTGAAGCTAAGAGAAAGCTTATTTGCTCTTTCTTTGCACTTTCCGGTTGTACTTAGGACCTTTGCAATGGTATGCAACCCATTGGCCCTAGACCAAACACCATTAATTTCCTTGCCTCTAACTTATGTAATTCCTTAAAAAATATAACTATTCTATTTAAGTCAGTTGAATGATTAATCGATTTACCAATAGTTGCTTATGAAGTGTTTCCATCAAGTATTTGAAGGAAGTTTGATCATTGTATTTCCAAGAGTCATTGTAAACCGGCATTAAGTAATTGTTAATGAAGTCATTGCTCCCTAAAGCAACCACATAACGAGCATCTTGAAAGAACTTATCACTTGCTTGTTTCCCAAGTTTTTTCTTCGTCAATTCAATTGTCCCTTGAAATAACTCGATTTGCTTCCAAAGAGAAAATCTTTGAATCGAAATTTGGTAATTAAATTAAGAATCAAAACGCCGTATTAGGTTATTATATATATATATATATATGATAGGATCCACTTATACAGTGTAAAACTCATTTAGTTTTACACGAAAATATAATCCTTTGATTAATCTAACCGGATGATTGAGATTAAAATAAAGAGAAAATAACATCAATGACCGAAAATGCCTTATAATATACGATTTTAACCAACTTTTTTTGGATTTGCGAAAATGACCAACAAATTCGCTACGCGATCTCAAATTCACAACGCTAACTCCAATTTTGCAAACCAGTTTCCAAATTCGCAACGCAAATCTGTAAATCGCAACGCGAATTTGTAAATCGCAACACAGAAGTCAAATTCGCAACACATAAGTCAAATTCGCAACGCGATAGTCAAATTCGCAACACTGAAGTCAAATTCGCAACGCGAATCTGTAAATCGCAACACAGAAGTCAAATTCGCAATGCAGTAGTCAAATTCGCAACGCGAAAGTCAAATTCGCAAAGCGCCTTTATTTTTGCAACACGAATTTTATTTTATTTTCAAATTCGAAACACAATATTAATTTCGCAACACAAATATAAACAATATTATCGCAAATCATAACCTAAAACCCTAAATCACAACTCAATCCCATCTCCATCTCTCACTCTCTACGGCGACATCCGTCCCCATCTCCAACGAAATCCATCCCCATCTCCGACGAAATCCATCCCCATCTCCGACGAATCCATCTATCTCCATCTCTCAGAGCAACCCTCACAACCATTCATGGTCAGAAATAGAAAATCAACCACCGAGGGTTAGTTTTTTTAATCTCTTATTTTTATTTTGAAATTTTTGTATTATTATTATTATATTTTCTGATATTGATGATAAATTTACTGGTAATTTCAATATATATAGATTAACCATTTCACTGAGATTGCTTAGTAAATTCATTCGGTTGCTGCCAATACTGCTAAACTGTTTAGTCTTTAACCCTGTGAAGTTAGTATTTGTCTTTGTTTTTTGGTTGAAGTAATGCAATTCATTCAAATTTCAATTTAGTTTCTGAAACTTAAATTCGCAACGCGATTTTAGTTTCGCGTTGCGATTTTCATTTTCGCGTTGCGAATTTAAGTTTCAAAAACTACTCTTATTCTGCAAATTGAAACTTGAATGAATTGCATTACTTCAACAAAAAAACAAAGACAAATACTAACTTCACAGTGTTGCTAATTTAAGTTTCAAGAATAAACTACTACTCTTTATGTTGTCCTTGAACCTGTACTAAACCTATATATTGTCCTTTTATGTTTATAAAGTGCTTACTTCTGGAATGTTATGTGATGCATTTTGTGAACTATGATGGAATAATGACTTAGGTGAATACCGTGCTAGTTTGAAACATATTTGGCTTTGTTTTCATTGTTTAATATCATGTCTGTTTATAGTGTATAATTTGTAGTTTTTAGTATATCTAACTTGGTATGTTTATTATTTTTGTAGAATTTTTTTTCGGCTCAATTGACCTTAAGGAATAAATTAAGCCTAGCCACTAAAATTGCGTCGACGCTTACACCTCTACAAAGAAAATTGTTTGAGGATACTTGCTTCGGGCCATGGCTGAAAGTGCAACATTCGAGTGGAGATGCTATGTTGACACATTTGTTTCTTCAGACCATGACTAACTATCTACCCGAGAGGATACAACGTGGTGATGAAGAGATATGGTTTCATTTTTCTCCGGCGTATACTTGTTTTGGGCGGGAGGAGTTTAGCTTAATCACTGGTCTACGCTTCGAACACGATGAAGTAACACGATACACTAGTCATATCTCCCGCCTATCATGGTTATCTCGGGTTTTTCCTGAGCTGGCAAAGTCGAAGCCGAGTTTACACATCGACGACTTGAAGAGATTATTTGTTAAAGATGGTTTTACTCGGATGGATGACCTTGATGTTGTCCGAGTATGCCATTTATTACTTTTGCATGCCGACATTTTAGGCAAAGAGGGCAGACAACCTATTTCTGAGGACCTAATATTATTGGTAGATGACCTAAATGCATGAAACCTGTTTCCGTGGGGTTCATATATATGGAAAGCTACCTGGAAGAAGTTGTCGTCTGCCTTTGAGGACTGAAAAAGTTTGCGGGGCGATGGTTGTAAATACACTTTGGCAGGCTTTATTTGGGCCTTTAAGGTTAGAATTTCTATATAATGTTTCCAAATTTATAATTAATTCTTTAACAATTACTGATGTTTGTGTATTATATTGTTTGTAGATTTGGATATTTGAGGCTTTTCCCAGCATGCGGACATATGCGATAAAAAATTCAAATGATATTCTTAGGGCTATTACCTGGAAAAGGATCCGCATGTTGGATTGGGAAGAGTTACTACCATATACGACGATGAATGATGTAAGTTAACACACAAATACTACCATATAATTAAACAAGTTATTACTATTACACGTTTAACTTTGTTTGAGCTTTTATATTGTTAGGAGGCCAGCTATCCATTACAGAGGCTGACACCTACAGAGGCTGAGCTTTCCACTGATTGGTGGCAAGCTAGTAAGCGGTTTTTTTATGGGACAGATGATGAGCACCCCTACTTCGAGAGCCATCACCTGATCGGGCCGATTCTACAGCTCGACACCCGGAGCCATCACCTGATCGAGCCTCTTCTCCACCTCCACCATCACCTATTCCATCATATCATCGAGCCTCTTCTCCACCATCACCTCATGATAGGCGACCGGCTAAGAGGCCATGACATTTATCTCCCTATTATCCACCTCCACGGGATGAGTTAGGGGAGTTACGTGATGAGGTCGGTGCTTTACGTCATGAGGTCGGTACTTTACGTGAAGACAATGGTGCATGGCATGATGAGGTACGGTCTTTACGTGGTGAGGTGGATGTTTTACGCGATGATAATGGTACGCTACGCTACGTGATGAGGTATCTACTTTACGTGATGAGGTAGCTGCTCTACGTGAGATTGTTTTATCATTGTAAAATGAGGTTCATACTCTACGCAATGAGGTAAATTTGTTTAATACTATACTAAAAATGAAAATAACATTTTTTCGGCATTATTTATTTATTTATTTACTGATTTATGTATTAATTTATTTTTAGCGGCCCGATAAGGTAGATGTTTTATGTCGGGTTTTTCTTGCACGACGGGGTTCACGCATCAGACGTCGTGCACATGCCATTACGTCTCCTTTCACCCCACTAGTGCCAAGACTCTGTAAGAAGAAGCCCAATTCATCTGTCATCGTTCAAGAGACGCATCCTATCGTTCAAGAGGCTCCTCTCATCGTTCAAGAGGCCTCTCCTACCGTTCAAGAGGCCCCTGTCATCGTTCAATGGGTCCCTCCCACCGTTCAAGAGCCCGATTCACAACACGTCATTTGTCTACATATTGATAAACCCCCTCCCATGCCTGATATGATGGATGCGTGTTGGCTTTTGTATGAGTTACCGGCCAGTACCATTCCTCAGGAGGAGAGGAAAACACTACCGGACACAATTACAGATAATACCCTTTGGGCTAAGACTGCAGTTGATTTTTATCTACATGAGTGGAGCCAGGGGTGTTATTCTGACATATACAAACTCGACGATGCTATGCATTTGTTTCTTGATCGGTCTTGGTGGGGTATTTTATTAGGGGTTGAAGATAATGGCTATTTCGAACGAGGGTAAGTCTTATATTCTTATTATATTGCATTTTGATTAATTTTTTTAAAATTTATTAATAAATTCACTAATATATGTATTTTTTTATAAAACAACATATTGATGCACGGGTGCCACGTCTTCTAGTAATAAGGAAATTGAAGAAAATAAAAAATACTCGATGGACTATTATGCCGACGTCTTTTCACGTAGCTCACTTGAAGGATCCGAGAGATTCTTCATATATGTTGGGTAATGGAAAAGCTAAACTTTATCCTGCGTGGTGGGAGGTCGATAAGGTTAGTATTTATTTTTTTGAATATTTTAAAGGTGTTCATAATTTTTATTTGATGTGCGCAATTATTTATGATTTATGATTGCAGGTGTTTATCCCTGTTTTGGAACGTCGTCATTGGTTTCTCGTCGAGCTTCAGCTCCCATCCCTGAAGACAATGGTATATGACATCATGTTGAATTACATACCTTTGTCTGATTTGAGAGATATTATTACAAAGGGATGGAGCGCTCATTTGGCTAAATACTTGGCTGTGATTAATTATTGTACTAATTCTGGAAACAAAAAGCTAAATAAGTTCAAAGTTACAATGATCAGAGACGAGACTGTGCCACAACAAACGCAGGGAGCCAGAAGGTATTGTGGTCCTCTCGTATACATGTGCTTGGAACATTTGACGATATGAAGTAAACAATTTATACCTCCCACAGATAGAGATATAGGTGCGGTAGGCTTGTGGTTTTGGCATTTTATGGCTAGATCGATATATGCGAGACGCTGCCTACCTGCATCCGCATGCTGAATGTGTGCATAAACAATTGGTAAGTTTGAGCAAGTGTTGTTAACATATATACCCTTTAATTGGTTTGAAAATATTTGGTTAAGTACCTAGAATTCAGTAATTTGCTGTTTGTTGGTTTTAGTTGTGTAGAAAGTGTTGTTTGAGCAAATGTTTGGTTTCTGCAGGTTAATCCTGAAGTGAGCTGCGTGAAATTGATGTATTTGTGCATAAACAACAATCTGGGGTACACTTTTTTTGCTTGTTTAATTGAATTTTACATTGAAAGTTGATTTGTTTAATTGATAAGGAAATAAGAATTATTTTTTGCTTGTTTAATTGATTTGTAAAAGTTGATTTGCTTAATTTGATGTGTAAATAAGAATTATTTTTTTGCTTGTTTAATTGATTTGTAAAAGTTGATTTGTTGTTTTAAATTCAATATACATTATGTTGAAGGCAAAAAAGACCTGTTGAAGGTACAAATTCGCAACGCGAAAGTCAAATTCGCAATGT